AGAATACGTATATACTATGACAGTTTTATTGTAAATCATATTAAATTTACTAAATAAAATTTTTTATAATATTAACATTCATCTACAAGTGGTAATTATTTTCTATAAAAATCTACTGAAATTAAATTTTGTAAAACGAAGTAAATAATACTACAAAATAAAAAATATGAGTATAATATGTAAAATGTAATATTATTTTAATATTTATACGAAAAATGCATTTATATCCAAATTATCTCATTCTATCAAAAAACTTCAAACACTATCAAAAAAGGTAAAAACAAAAAAAAACATTATTTTTATTAGATCAGTGTATTTTTTGTTTCACTAAGAAATAAGGAATGATATTTTTAAAACTATCCCTTTGGTCATTACTCAGTTTTAAAAAACCAAAATACTCAAAATAACAAATTACTAAATCTTATATTTTTCTTTAAGACAACTTCATAGTTCAATCACCCATGAATTCTTTAAAATACAACAACCCCGATCCATAAATGCATTGACTCCTATTTTTAAGGCCATTGACCGTTTAAAGGTAATCATGAAAAAAAGTAAATAAATGGGGAAACGGGATTAAGAAATGTATAATAGTTGTCCTTGAGGGTTAGGTAGACATTGACTTAACTGAGTTGCCTGTTGTTGGGATCCTTAAATCCAGATGAATAATTCTTCACATAATACTTGAAAGACAACTACCAACGACCTTAAAATAAGTGGGCCTCAACATTTCTGTTCATAGGATTACGTAAACATATTTTTTATTTAAATGTCATATTTATAATTTATCACTCAAAAATCCTAAATTAAGCATTACTTAAATCTTTATTATTATAGGACATCTTGAAAATAATTAGTTATGAGTTTTAGATAAATACCAAAACAAAGTACCTTAGCAATAATAAAAAATATAAGGTAATAGAAAAAACTATCAATAAATTCTAAAACCATAAGATTAACAATAATATATTTAACTACAATTATAAATTTTACTTGACATAGAAGCGATTAGTTATATAACATTGATTCATTTAAAAAATATGCTATTAAATTAATTGTTATTTCTTTATAATAACTAAATTATTCGTAAAAAAATTATAAATTATACCTTTTATTAAAAATATTAATTTATTTAAGATCCATGTTTTCACAAATAAAATATAATTATTTTATAGATTTAATATAACTTAAAGAAATTAAAATGTACAAAAAACTCAATTGTATAGGCTATAACTTTAACAATTTTAAAATTTCATCTAGGAACTTTTTGCTTTATCACATATTTACAAGTTTAATTTAACATTTTTAGATCAATTTTAAATTTTAAAGCAATAGTTATAAAATAAAAGATCTACTTATTTCATACTTGTATACATATACTTAGTCTAGATATAAATACTGTCAGTACTATGTAATTGAGGGAAATTTACCCTCTACAAAACAAATAATTGTCGATCGAGAGATGAATATCAACGCATAGTCGGTAACTCATATATTACGAGTTGACTTAGGTTTACGTGCATATAAAATATGTACGAGCCATTTATTGGTGAATCGATTAAAAGTAATAAGACATGAAAAGAGCTGCTACGCTCGTATGGTCGAAAAACATTTAAACAAATTGTATTTACAGAAAAAAAAATATTTTGCTGATATAGTAATGGTTTAGAAGGTTATGTCATGGTATGGTGTAACACAGAACAATTTCTGTGAGAAAGGGGTTGAAATTGGGGCTCGCGATTATCAGACAACTGTCTAGGACCCTATATTAAAGCCTATGGTAAAACCTTTTAACAATACATTGTTCGAAGGAATCGACTGGGTATTTTAACAGGATTCGGCACCTGATCAAAAGGCAAAACAACACAAGAGTGGTTTGAAAACAATGTTTCGAATTTCATTAAAAGTATCTGTGTGGCCTACCGCAAGGACGGATTTCAACCCATTTGATTATGAGTTATGGAGTATTTTAGAAAAGAGAGTGTGTAAAAAACGACATATAAATTTGGAGTCACTCAAACGAAGTATTGTGAAGACAACAACAGAAATTCCGTTGGAGATGATTCGTATATTTATTGAACAGTGACCGAAACGTTTACGTCGTTGTATGAAAAAGAAGAGGGAGACATTTTGAATAATTTATATATGGTTCGAATTATAATTAGTTATACTATTTAAATATATTGAATAATATTAGTTTGAAGTAGTGATGGGAATTATTCAAATTATTTACGATAGAACTATTCGAATAATTTGATTATTTGAATATACATTACATTACTAATTTAAAGTACTGACAGTATTTATGTCTAGACTAAGTATATTAAATCATATTTACAAGTATAACATTTCAATAAGAATATTTTCATTCTGATAAAAATATTAAACCAAATTATAATACATAACAAAAATACACCCGTTTATGATACAGCTAATTTTATTCTTAATAAATTGTAAAAAATGATTTAAAGAAATTAAAATATAGCAAAACTATCAGTATGTACCTATTTAAATAATACTATATAAAAGAAAAAACCTAAAAAATAGATAGCCAAATAAGAGATGGGTAATATTTATATACTATATAAAATATTAAATAGATATAATTATTAGCTGCAAAAACAAAATGGTTGATTATTTACAAAATTCTTAATTTTATAAATTAAAGTTGTTAAATCATAAATAGTTTATTGCTAGTTATTACAATTACATCTATATATAAGTTAAAATATCTTAATAATATGCGTTGAGTTGAAATGTAATGTATGTGATATATATTGAACATACAGATAAAATAGGTACTTAATACTTTATGTTCATAGTTTATAGGTACATACAAGAAAATACTGTACGAATGTATGTACCTAACATTAGTCTATTTGAATGATCATATAGAAAATAAGTGTACAAAAGGGGCGATACGGCATTAGAATATGTTGAAGACATAAATATAAATGGTTCGAGGTAAGAAGAAGGTTATCAACTAATGACAAAACAAATAATTTATGCACCAGTATTAAATATTTGATTGGTATTTTACAATGTGACTATAAAAAGAATATATATATATATAATATATTATATTACTTCAGTATAAGAAATACAGATATTTCTAAACATTATATAATATATACATATTAATCTGATAGATTATACATAGTAAACAAAAATATTTTCAATAACTCAACTTAAATATAACATAATATATTCATATAAACATCAATCCAAACATCCGGCTATATATAAGAAATTGACATTGAACTACGTATAATCACTATTTTTACTAATTCGCTAAACATTCAACTGTATAGTAGCTTATATAACGAGGTCAATCATTTTCAAAATTTTTGTTCACAACTAATGCTTAATATGTAATATTATTGATCAAGAAACGGTATATTTTAATATCTCAAATCAAAAGTTGATTGATCTTTTTGGACTGTGTTCAAGATCCTTTCCTATTTATTTATTTGACCTCTCTTGTTTGAATATACCTACAAGAGAAAGGAGTCCTTGAATTAGACGAACTTACACTTAATACGGGTCAATATTTGTAAACAAATATTTTACATTATAAATATATATAAATATTATGTATTGTTATTATTTATACTATATATTGATAATTATTACTTTTTCAGTGCAATAAATAATGATTTTTTTCTAAATCATATAAATGCTATCATCAAAAATTATTTGAAAATAAAGCGTATTATCAACTATTTTGATGAAAGATACCGATTTTTCTCCTAGTATGTACTTATGCTAAAGATATTATGTTTTAATCAAATGTGTACATACAAATTGAACAATTAATGACCAATGTTGAGTTTTACATATTTATCCATAGAAAATCATATACATGGTAAATAAGTGACCTTTAATGACCAGTTAATATTTTATTTCCTTCGATTGTCTAACGCGTGACTTGGAAAATCATGCTCCATACTTTCGAAACTATAACTCTATGGTTGACAGTTGTACTTGGGATATAAACAATACTTGAGCTTATGTACAAAAACTGTTAGTAGATGAATAAGTGTTAATCATTTTAGTAACATTTTTATATTACTAATTAAATGCATTGACTAAGCACAATACGAGTATATATATTCTTTAATAAATTGATTCTTAAAAATGAAAAATTTTTAGACTTTCAATTTAACAAAGAATTTATTGTAATTTTTGGAACACTTTTTTGATGTTTAGTGTTACAAATGATTGAGGAAAAAATGCTTTCCACTTTAATTTTTACTAGTACGGACCTAGTCATAATTATATTCAACATTTTTAATGAAAATAATTAACTAATAAATTACTTAAACTAAAATAATTCGTAAAATATTATTTTATTTTTAAAAATTCAGAATTCCTTCAGATTTTTAGTCATTTAAATGATACAAGAATTATATTTATAAAAATTACAAACTTAATTTTGAAAACTTTGTTATCAAAGTAAAAATCTATGATTCATCACTAAATCAGTAAAACACTAAAACAAACTACGTTTTGACATTTTTTAAACAAAGAATTCACGAATTAAAATTATAGAAATTAATTAGTGTAATTTTTCTTTAAATTACGCATAAAATAAATATAAACGTAATACTTATATTTTACAATATTAATTTGCCAATTTCATAGTACTTTGTGTATCCAAGAATATTTTAGATCAAATATACGAAGAAAATGATGTTGATATCTACCAACATAATATATAAACTGATAAAAATAATAGAATCCTGTTTTATATTTATTTTTGTACCCCATTGTTTTTCCCCTCTTACATTTTAGAAAGTAATTTAAACAAATTTTACACATGTACGCACATTGGTATATGGATGTATAACAATATTATATTATACACATTAATATAATACGTATATTACGAAACAATTGTTAATGTAACTGCACATAACACAAACGAAAAGCGACTTATTGTAAATGAAACAATGAAATTGGTTTTATAAGAAATGTTAAAAAATAAAAAATACGCTTACAGGTGATGAACGTGACAATCATTAACTCGGTACCTGTTCATGTAAAGAGAGCTATTAGTTAAAATTAAAATGATCGGACAGTCTAATATGTAGATCATTTAAGCACATAAATGCTGTGTTGACCGCGTACGTTAAATGTGATACGGTACGGAATAGACGATAGCCGTAGGAAGGTGTGATGTGTATCAATACGCGCGGGCCGTGTCCTAGTGCACTAAAATACGTGTGCCGCTAGCATGATCATTGCGAGCAGCATTTGCGGTTCATTGACCTCTGGAACACCCAGCGGCGTGGTCGAACTAGACCACTTTCACTGTTTCCGGACATTGAACTGTCCAGACAAACACCAAAGACCACCGTACCGCCGCGGAGTCGTCTCCCAGAAAACAAGCCCGACCCGCTTTGATGGGTCAAGGAACTCTATAAACGTGTATGTACATATTATATACGCGCACACACACACACACACACATATATATATATATATATATGACCAGTCATAATAGACATATACGAGTATACACGAGCATATATTATATACGTAAACTCTAAGTCTACATACAAAACACATTATATTAAATGAAACGTGATATTTTATTGATGTAGGTAGTATACAAATGAAGAATAATGTATTGTAGTGTAAAAGTGAACAAAATATAAACCAAAACGTTATGCGGTCCACGTCGAGGACATAAGTGTTCGGGTACCAACGCTACATAAATACTGTATTAGCAAAAATTCAAAAGATAAAAATAATAATTAGGCTTAGGAACTTCTAGCATTTGCATACTTTTGTTAATTATTGTTAAAAATAGCAGAGTGCGAAATAAATTAATTTCTCGGTGCCATGATATCAGATCTAAAATTTGAGTGTGCATATTTTTGCATATTTAATAGATTTTGCAGGAATTATTTTTAATATTATTATTTTAAAATTATTTTGCTTATTTTGCATATTTTGACAAATTTTTCAATTTTAAAATTAAAAATTATTAATAAATATATGATATAACTTAATAAGTTATAAACTACATGTACATATTTGAACCGATCAAAAAAAAAATATATATATACTATTTACAAACTAACACTTATAATTTTTGCGAAAGTATAAATAAACCCGTATCGACCGTTTATAGGGGTCCGTTATATTTGTTATACTTAAATTTTTGGGCATATCTTAGCGCATATTTTAGAATATATTTGGCCATTGTTTGGTACATATTTGTGTATTTTTTAAAGCTAAAAGTCTCTAAGTCTAATAATAATAGTTTATGCGTAGTTTTGATTTGTTGATTTAACATTTAGAAAAATTCGATGTATACCCGTGTACAAAAATAGTATACAGAGTTTAGAGTTTTATTGCTAACGATGAAAAGGGATTGTTAAGGGTTTGAAACTCTCATCAATATAATGAGTTCGTATAGTCTTCAATTTTCATTTGAAAATGTTTCATGATTAAAAGCATCAGAGTCATATTTTCGTTGATGAAATACTGTTGAAGCCCGCTTCTTTAAGACAGATTAGAGATTATGGATACTCTTTTTGACATAAACACAAGTCATAATAAGTTTTTTTTCTCGTAGAAAGCTATTAAATTTCCAAAAATTAAAAAAATATCAACATATAAATAAAGACCTTGCTGTGCTTGCTTGAGGCCAAAACGAACTCTACAGTAAATTATAATCTATTTTAACAATAATATAGTGTAATTAGTGTCACAAATAGCACCAAAGCAAGCAAAACAAAGACCTGCCAAAGGAGCTGAATAATTTTTTTGAGGGATCCATTTTTACATTTAACTAGATAGTTCACATAAATTGTGTAAATTGAAAAATGTTAAGTATAAATTAGTTAAACATGGTAACAACATGGTAATAACGAATATTACTTTATTATTATATTTATTTAATTAATAACTATTTTAAAACATTTATTAACAGAAATTGATGATAAAACAGAAAAAAGAAATAGAAAATTCGGTAACATAGATTACTCCCAATTTTTTTATTGAACATACCTTGAGTCTCTTACCATAATAAAATACACACCAGTAGGGCAATACACCACAATTAGCCCTAAAAATAAAAGTAGTATGGAAATATTGCTGTCAATTTACAAACAGTTAATTTACCAATATACCTACTTACCTAACCTATGTATCAGTGTTGTTTATCGAATAAGAAAATTATAAAATATTAAGTGTTAATTTTTTTTTAATTTTTTAATTTTTACTATATTTTTTCTATAATGTCGTCAAAATATCTTAGTGGTTGTGAAAAACGAAAAATAAAAATAAAAAAAAATTGAGAAAATTAAGAAATTAAAAGGATTGTTAAATATGTTTGTTGTAAAAAAAAAATCTGGAAAATACAGGTAAATATTTTTATATTTTTTTTTTTGAATAATTAATATATGGTTGTTTAAATTTCTTAAACTAATTAGAATAAATCCCTCATTTCATTTTGAGTTATTACTTATTATGTTATCAGTACACTGACTGTAAATTATATTAAGTATATGTAGGTAACTATTTTTTTTTTTTTTTTAATTGACAATTGTACTTACAATACAAGTAAAATAATGAAAATATTAATGTTGAATCTTCTGTTACTTATGTTATGATCCTATTGAACCAGAAATAGATTATAAACCAGGTACTTAAAATATGTGTTTAAAAATTAATTGTCTATAAAACATAAATTACAATGAAATAATAAATATGAGCCTATATTATTTAAACATTATGATAATTTTGATATTCATTCCTTTATTATTAATATAGGCACCTAATAATTCAATTTAGTTGTTAACTATTTTTATATTTTATTTAATATACCTACATGTACAAATATAATCATTTTTTGAAAAGTAATTTATTTTTTTATTTTTTAGTTGACAATTGTGCTTATTATTTTACAAGTAGAACACTCTGTGAAAATACGGTTCACCTCCAAAATAGTGAAAATAAAAGATAACAAAAATATTGAATGCAAAACAGCAAAAATCATTTAATTGAAAGAATAATTTTACGAATAAAAAATTATGAAAAATATTAAATAAATTTAAATTATGAAAACAATTATTATTTTTGTCATACCTATATATTGTCAAAATTAAAACTGGAAATTATGGTTATCCACTCTTTTATCGGCGATCACTCAAAGACAATGGAAGATCAACAATTGTCAAAATAAATCAACAAGATATTGAAATAGATAATCTCTGGATTGTTCCATATTCACCGATCTTATCAAAAACTTTCAACGCACACATCAATATTGAATCTTGCCATTCAGTTAAATCTATCAAGTACATATGTAAATATCTAACCAAAGGAAGTGATATGGCTGTGATTGGATTTGGTACAAAAAATTCTAATAATGAAGTAACCTAATACCAAATGGGCCGCTATGTTAGCAGTAATAAAGCATTTTGGCGATTTTTTTCTTTTCCAATTCATAAAAGACACCTCACAGTTGTTCACTTAGCCATGCACTTAGAAAACGAACATTGAGCGTATTTCTCAGCTCAGAATGTAGTTTAGAGAACTTACTAACCACCATCTACTAACATTTTTTTCGAGACGTGACAAAATGATAATTTCGCACAAACACTGCTATATTCTGAAATGCCAAAATATTATATGTTCTTGGAAACAATCAACAAAGACATTTATGCAAAGGAAATAAGGAAAACCAGTTCCAAGTTACCCAGGTGTATATTCAACCGATGCAATAAGTTGAATTTATTCCGTTCATCCAAGCAACGATGAATGTTTTTATTACGGCTGCTATTAATCAATGTGCGTGACCCAGACTTGGGTAAAATACTTTTTAAAAGTATTTAGGATAAATACTCGACTTCTACAAAATATTATTCCGAATATGTATTCAAATACTTTATACAAATTGTATTCCGAATACATTATTTAGAAGTTCGCCAGGTCAGCTAGTAAATTAAAAAAATGATTAGTAAAAAACAAATGACACACATTTTTTTCACAATCGGGAAAATTTTCCTGCGATCTAAGACTGATAAAAATAGAGACATTTTATAGGATTCGCAAATATTTTAATCTTTACCATTATAAAATCTATAAAAGAATTAATATTATTTGAAAACAATGCCTTTTAACGTTACCTGTTTATCCGCTTATAAGAAAATGTTTTTTTTTTTTAATTTTAAATTACAAGAAATACCATAAGCGGCTATAAATTGAACTACTAAAAATACAGTAGCAAAATACGCGATATTAGTAAAAAATAACAGAGTATATTACTTCGCTCATCTATATTTTAAGCAGATATATTATAATAGGTGCCTAGTCACAATATTAATATAACCTTCTTCTCCTTCGTCTTTTTCCTAACTATTAGGGGTCGGCCAACCTTGTCCTAAACTTCCACTCGTCTCGATTTTCTACATCTAAACGAATCTAGATTAATATAATAAATAAAAAAATATATTATATTAATTATTATTACATTTTAAAATCTTTCTCCTCAGACCCAAAAGCAAAGAGAAACCCTATGGATTTAATGTAAATTATAAATGTCTTTTGCGATATTTAGGTAAAAAATATAGGACAATACATTCTTCTCAAAATTATATAATTGAGAAGTTTAGATTCTGAGAGAAGCGAGGTTTATTTATATACAGTTAATTTCAACAATTATATTAGTTTTAATAGTATACCTAAGTACATTTTTATCACAAAAAAATTTAACTTATAAAAAGTAACCTAAATATTAAAGTTAAAAAATTAATATAGTCGGAAAAATAACAAATTTATCTTGAGAAGAAATATGTTTGAAATTTAAAAAAATCACTTGACAAATTAAGAATGGCGTGAACATGTAAGAACTATCAAAATAGAGATAAAATAAAAAAAACCGCCACAAATATCCGAGGACTTAAGAAGGGAACAAAGAAGGGAATGATAATAATTATTTAACCCTTTCGCTACCATTGTCCATTGCAATGGACATGACTTTATTTTATTTTCTATAATTTACTATGTATACAAACTCATCATATTACGCATATATATTTATCTAATACTAGTATAAATCAAAATAAAAATATTTTTAGACTTCTAACTAATATAGTTTTTTGTGAAGAAATGAAAATACAAAAAAAAATTTTGTATACTGTTGTGTTATCAAAAACTGAAATATATTTTAACTTATTCACTGAAATATAAGTGTTGGTAACACTGAATATTTTTTTCTTGGTAAAAGGTATCTGGAATGATAAAATTTTGTTGATTAAGCATACCTTAGTATCATACACTACAAGCAATACATGATAAAAAGTATGTCCATTGAAATGGACAGTGGGAATATCGGGTAAAATTTCAATTCTAATTTTATAACTGTTTGGGTTTTTTTTCTAGAATTGAGTTTTGTGGTATTGTCATCAATATCGTATGACGTAATAATGGTAATAATATAAAAACAATTATATTGTGTTTAGTTGATATTCTGTATCAGTACCGTCTGTATTCGCTCGCACGTCACGGTTTTTTATTATTATTTCAAGTTTTTATATAATATGGCGTTAAATGAAAAACAAATTTTGAGCTTTTTGGATGACGGAACAATTAGTGATATAGATATATTGAATAGTGAGTCAGAGAATGAACTTGAAGATTTATTAAATAAATTTGCGAATGATGATTTCTCTGCCGAACTCGATAATGAAATGCTGGCTGATACAGAATTAGACTTGCACGAAGAAGACGACCAAACAACAAATGAAACTCAGTCTGGAAATGAAGTCTTTGATATATCACCAATGCAGTTTCCATTTGTCCAAAAAAAAAATATAAAATGGATAAATAAACCATTTCAAGAGCCGTATATAAATCTTACAGATTTAGAACCAATAGATTGTCCCTCCACAATACCACAACCATGCGAATATTTCACTAAATATTTTGACCAAAAAATATTCGAAGACTTGTCATTTTATACAAATTTATACGTAGTTCAAAATAATGATTTTTCTTTTAAACCTACGTCACCATTAGAAATAAGATCTTTTATTGCAATTCAAATGATGATGGGTGTTTTGAAGTACCCTAGGATCGGGATGTACTGGGAACAAACATTTCGCGTAAATATAATTGCCGATACAATGCCCAGAAATAGATTTTATTCTATTCGACAAAATATTCATATCATCAACAATATGGATATAGCTCGTGATAATACCGATAAATTTGTAAAAATTCGTCCATTATTTGATGCGCTAAATAATCGATGTAAACAATTACCAGTGGAACTAAACATTAGTGTTGACGAACAAATAGTTCCTTTTAAAGGTCAATTAGTTATAAAACAATATATGAAAGGAAAACCGAATCCGTGGGCATTAAAATATTTTTACTTTGTGGTCAAAGTGGCATTGTCTATAACATGATTCTTTATCAAGGAGTTTCAACTAATATTAACAAGGATTTACAAAAAAATTTCGGTCTAGGTGGAGCAGTTGTCCTCGATCTTACTAAACATCTTACGCCAAATCGACATTTTCTTTTTTTTTTGACAACTTTTTTTCTTCGTATAATTTATTTTATGCACTCACCGCACGTCAAATATATGCAGCAGGCACAATTCGAATAAATCGAATTTTTAATCCACCAGTTTTATCCGATATAGTTATTATGAAAATGGGGAGAGGAACCTCTTATGAAGTAACTTCAACATTAGGAGTTGGACTGTTGAAATGGTGCGACAATAAAGCAATAACCATGGCATCTAACTTCATTACTTCAGGAAAACCGGAATCTGTTTCTCGCTGGGACAAAAAAAAATAAACAATAATCAAACTATATAATAAATCCATGTTAGGAGTGGACAAACACGATCAACTTGTGAGTTATTACCGCGTGTACATGAAATCTCGAAAATGGACTCCGCGTATGATAACTCATGCTTTTGATATGGCTGTGGCAAATTCTTGGCTCGAATACAAACAGGACGCAGAAAATATGGGAATATTAAAAAAAGATCAAAAAGATTTGTTGCATTTCAAAACCACTTTGACTGAAGAGCTAGTGATGGTTGGACGATTCAGTCCCGGAAAAAAAAGGGGTCGTCCTACATCTTCACCATCCAGTAGTACAAGATCTGCAGAATGTCGTTCACCAACTCCTGCCAAAACATCGTCAAAAGCATTGGAGTTTCGACCAACGGAAGGTGTAAGCAAAGATCTTTTTGGACATTTTCCCGCGTATGATGATAAAAAAGAAGCAACACGGTGCAAAAACAAAAAATGTACAGATAAAACACATGTTGTATGTAATAAATGTAAAATTCATTTGTGTTTTACACCAAAAAAAAATTGTTTTTATGATTTCCATTGTAATTAATTTTAATCTCATTTAAGTGTTTTATAAACTAAAAATTAATATAATATTATCTAAGTAAATAAGTTGTCTTCTTTTACGAAATAATGAAGCAAAATAAAAGTTTTATGTTTTTTTTTTACATTTGTCGTTATTGTATTATTTTATACCGTAAATCCCAATGTCCATTCCAATGGACATACCTGTAACTTTTTAGCAATAAAAAAAAAAAAAATTGGTACATCATATTAAAAGGCCATAAGTTTCAGATATGAAAAGAGAAAATTTTTTTTTTCAAAAAAATTAATTTGGTAGTGAAAGGGTTAATGTTTTTAACTTATTTAACAATTTTTAACTTTCAATAGATATCTACTGTCAGTGATACCGAAACCTATATTTATATATATATATGATGAGTCACCTAATTATCTACCCACCTACACTCACCCATCAACAAAAAAATTAGAAATTTTTTTAACAAATGTAAACAATTTATTCATGTAAACAATTTATATACAGTATACTTGTCAGAAATTAGAAGGGTACCAATTATAACATGTTTTCTTAACCTAATATTAAATATTTTCCCAAGGAAAATTCTTTCATAGGCTTTAACTTTATTTTAGTGTCCCGGCCACGGAATACCCGCCCCCCAAAACAATTATATTTGTATTACGACCACCATTCATGGACTTCGGTGCTACTTACTGCCTGCTGTTATGTTGTTTAGATATTAAAAGTACGTATTATAAGAACATTGAATCGAAGAGCTTGTTTTTGTCATAAGTTTTTTTTTCTATTAAAAACATTAATTAGAAATAATATATGTTATAATGAAAGAGAAAAGTTAAAAACTCTAGATTCTAAAGTTTTTAATAATTTATAGAGTTTAGAAAAAATCATCAAACCAAAGTAATTTAATATTATTTCTAAGAGGTGACTACCGCGCTATCTATCTGTAGATTCAATATTAATATAATAGTAAATGATGATATTCATTATCAACAAGAATTAAAGAAAAATAAAACACTCAAAATGTAAATAAAAATATATATAAGTATATACAATCGTTAAAGATTTTTGTACAGACCAATTGTAAAGTTGGTCTTTTAAATAATAAAACCCCAGTGCATAAAAAAGAAAAAAATTTATTTCATAGACATTAATAATATTTATAATAATACATTTTAATTTACAAATAGTTATGAATTCAATATCTATATCATGAGTTCTAAATTATTATTTAATATTAGATGGAAAATTAATTGTAAAAAATACTGATTTAAAAGCAGGTAATTTTATTTTTTTCATTTTTTTCTTGAATTAAGTAATATATTTTTATTAGATATGGAAGACCAATCAATTTTGGAAAATACAAGTTCTGAGTTTATGACATTATATGCTGATCAAGCATTGGCTTCTCATCCTGAACAAATACCAAATGAGTGTACTAATATGAGTAAGTACCTGAACATATTATATTGTATCTACTAAAGGAAAATTAATTAAACACAAAGATAAGAAAACCTTTTAAGTTATGCTTCTGTTATATTAAATATCCTTAAATTCTTAATGTACTTTGTTTTGTAACTTTATAGAATACTGATTGCCGATTTTATCATGTAGTAGTTAAAATTTAGATTGTTTAACCCTGAGTTATCCAGTATGGGTTTATAGGTGAGAATTTATCTGAGGTTATTTTACAACTGGCCTATTTTCCTTGTTTAACTGAATGCCTTAAAATTAGTTACAATTACATTTTTATTTACTTAGGAACAGGGGCGCAATTTCAATGAAAAAATTGGGGGTGATGAAGCCCTTCTATCTTTTTCATGTTCTTTAATGGTTACAGATACTGATAACCTGATAAAATTCAACAGTAACTAAAATATTTGGTAAATATTTGAATATTTCTAAATTTAAATTGTTCACTTTAATTTTATATTTTTATTGCGCGTATAACAAATTAACTCTCTGTTAACACAAATTTTTCATCATATAATCACTTTTAGATTCTGAGTGAAGCGAAGGATATTATGGTTTTATAATGATATTTGTATTTTGGTTTTTTAACACTTTCAGATAGAAATACTGATGCAAAAGTTTTTCCTAGGAAATTTTTAGATTTCAAATTGGCAAGCAGTGGTCATTTTTTTTTAAATCTTAATAGTTTTTCCAGGTGTGAGAAAAAAACTGTCCTGAAACGGTAAAAATAAGCTGTAAATAAAATAAGACTTTCGCCTTTTAGATTTTAGTTATTTAGTCATAATTCCAAAAGTAATGTGGCTAGAAACTTGAAACTTTTACCCTATAGCAAAGATATATTTTTCGTATTTGATAAAATTTTCAAAAAACAATTTTTATTTAAACATAGAACTTACCTAATTTTTGAAAGTCTTTATGTAATAAACTTTTTTTTTGGATATTAAGTGAAAATCACCTTAATCATATAAGTGTACTTATTTATGGATACTAAAATTTCTTTAAAGATCGTCAGGCTGAAATTTATTTCATAAGCATTTAAGTAAATTATTATACCTACAATTTTTACATCAATTTTTAACATTTAATGTTTATTAAAAAAATTTGGTCCATCCAATCATAATGAAATTTTGAATACAGACAAATATTTGGTTAAAAAAAAAATTTTAATAAAATTGTAAAGAAAAAAATGTTAAATAGGTTGTTAAAAAAAATATATTATATCTTTTATTAAATAATCATTAATAAGGATTACCGTTTGTTAATTAATTTTTTTGTTTTATTATTTTTAATATACATGATTATTTATTATTTTTTCATATTGTGACTATAGCGTTAATACAAAATTTAATTAAAATATACCAAAGGAATATTATTTTTAAATTTTAATACTATAGACCAGGAGTTGGCAACTGGCAGACCGCTGAAGGCAATACTATGGACCCTGTCAATTTTTAATTTCATACTTCTAATATTATAATTTTTAATATAAATTAATTGTAATAACCAAATAATTTTTTTTATTTTTATACTACTATTTTTAAAATATAAAGATTTGAAAAAGATTTTTTTCGCTGGACCTCATTGATTAGGACTCAATTGTAAATTACTTACCGACCCCTGCTATAGACTATACTGTTATATTTTACTATATTCCTACTCTTACTGAAATACAATAGTATTCCATTATAATACGCAACTACGTATATACCTCACTCATTAATTATAATCTTTTTTTTTATTTAGTTTTAGACCCAGATAATTGTCAAAATATCAATACTATGGTTCCATTAAATGATTTATTGGGACAAACATTCATTATAGAAAATAATGAACAACCTTTTTTTGTCAATGGTACTCAGGTAAATAACTTTGTAAAAACTACTTTTCATTTTTAATATTTTTAGTTTCAACTTTTCTACAGTTAATAACATTTCAACATATTGATGCAAATGAACAAATAGATGACATTCGGGCAATTTCAACGATTGATCCTGAAAAATCAATGATTCAAAATATTAATTTTTCCATGGATTCTAATAATCAGTTTCAAGATATATATACAAACTGTAAATTATCTGTTATTACTTTTTTGTTTTGAAATGTAGTGTTATAATAAATTATAATTTTACAGTTAATAAAACAAATAATGTCAGTGATAATTTAAAAGAACATCTAGAAATTATAAACAATACTGATATTGACCCAACCATAGAAAACTACAGTAATTCAACTGCTATTCAAATTTTTGATGATATTGCTCTAAGTCCTACCGATACAAATGTAAGTTCACTTTTATCTATTAATTTTAACTATTATAAATAATTTTTGTTGAAATTAAACAATACACCTAGTATATTTAGTATGTATTAGTTTCATACTGTAATTTTAAGTATATATATATATATATATATACATTAGTATAGTCAGCAATTAATGTTTTTTACCTGTTTTTACATAGTTTAATTAATTTTTTTACCTGATTTAGGGTCACTTTGTTTGTGATTTATGTTTATGTGAATTTTATAAGTGGCAAAACTATAAGAAACATAAACTAGAACATTTAAATGATAAACCATTCAAATGTTTAAAATGTTTAAAATCTTTTAATTATAATGTAAGTAAATGTATTTTTCATACTTGTTTCAATGTTAAAGAATCTATAATAATTGACATAGAAAAATCAAGTTTTCTATTTTTGAAGCAATTGATTGGATAGTATGAGGTCATCTTTGATTTATTCACCTCCTATCTGGTTATTTATCTTTTGAGCATTTTCTTATCTTACAAAACATTTTACTTAATATTATATATATTTTTTATAATCTATTTCCTTGTTAAAATATGTGACTAATAAATATAATATGTATATTACATAAATACAATCCTTATAATTTATAATTTTAATTAATTAATTTTATAATTATTTTATAAAAAAAATTGGATTCAATTATAGATAAATTCTTGAAAACTTCATAATCTGTATGTTTATAAATATGACATAAATATGTTATACATTTTATTATAAGAATATTACAGTGCTTCATTAATTATAATAATTTTTTAAGTATTGTGATTAAAAATAATATTTAAAAATATTTTTTTAATATTTTTTTATTTAATAAATTTGTTTAATATATAAATAAATGTTTAGCACGGAGTATTATGATATTTTTAATTTGAAATTTTTTAGTCTTGACTTCGTACATACCTGATGTTGAATTTTTAATTAGAAATCAGTTACATTAAAAATATAATACTTCAGGCTAAGAATTTATTTATTTATTTCTATTTATAAACTATATGTTTATCTATTTACAAGTATTAACCATTTACTATTAATAAATTTTATTTAATTTTTTATAATTATATGTTTATAGAATAATTATATACTTCACATTGCTTCACATTTAACAAACAATTTAAAGTGTCCTGAATGTAAAAAGGAATTTAAACGCATCGCTAGCTTTAAGTCTCACTTAAAAATTCATTTAACTGAAGAATCAATTACTTGTAATATATGTTATAAAATATTTGATAATCAGGTAAATATATATATATATATATATATATTCATTTTTATGCGAGTATATTATTAATACTTGCAATTATAATAAACTTTTAATTTACAAACAATATGCCAATTTTTAATGTTTTAAAAATTAACCATATGTAATTTTAAAATCACAAGTAATACAATATATATGGTTATATTATCATCTTATTATTATTTATTTTTTTTTTTATAAAAATTATTTATTTAAATAAAACACTAGAAAATTTTCCACCCCCTACATTTTACTGCCTTAGACAGCTGCCTACTCTGCCTATTAGGAAATCCGCCTCTGTATGAATGTGAACACGTAAACATGCTTTCACGAACAACATTATTTTCAAATACTGCATTAGATATACTATTATTCTATAAAAAAATTCTTTATCATATTTATAGTTTAAAAAGTAAATAATGTAAGATAGTTAAAATTGATTTTGTTGAGTTGACTTTAAGTCATGTATAATTTTTTCATTATTGTATTGTATTCGTAAGAATTCTTTCTTATTTCCTTTAATATTGAATATGTATTTTATGTCTTCATAAATTTTTTCCTAGTTTCCGTGTCTATTAAAATTATTGGTGCCAGTGTAGAGTGCGGTCTACCAGCTCGTTTCTGGTGTAGAGTGCGATCTACCAGCCTGTTTTTGGTGAACGCAATTTGTGGAGCAGCTTAGCATTACCCACAAGAAAGAGAGAAAGTTTCGTTAAATAAATATTTAAAATAAAAGTTTTGTTTTAGTCGCTATTAATGAATATAACACGCATATCATCCAAAATAGCAATGAACAAATCTGGTTAATTTTTCCGCCACACCTTCCAACAATACAGATCTTAATGTAACTGAAACATATAGATAGGTATGCCTCTTTTTTTTACCGATAAAGAACTGGATAGTATTGGGTAGATCACAGGTAGAACATATGTAAGCGATTGATCGGACGCTACACTGGCACCAAATTATTATTAAATATGGTTTTTTTTTTAAACTGTTAATTTTTGTTCTAATATACTTAGAAACTAAATTATTTATTATTAAAGCCCGGATTTATATGTATTTGCATGTTTGTACTAAATTTATGCACATCTATGGAGGATTAAAATGTCCACGATTCATATCACACCGAATTTTAACACCTAATTTTATATTATATATTTTGCATATTTCGAGGGTTATTGCATATTTGTTTATAAATGCATATAACATGCATATTTAATGGATTTTAATAAATTAACTATTTTAATTTTGTAATCGCTTCAAATGATAGATATAAGTTTCAAAAATATTATTTTAAAAGATTGTATTTTTTAAGTTTTCTATTAGTTTTTTTTTTTTATTTATATTTTCGTTTTTAAGTTTCCTAAAAGTTTTGGATTGATTTAAATGATTTTAAATATAAATATTATCAATTCTTTTTGTTTTTTGATAAAATATTTAGAATTTTATTTGGTATAAAAGTGTGGTTTTGTTTAAAAAAAACACATTTTATAAAGTGTAAGATAATGCATATAAATCTGGGCTCTAGTTATTATTGTAGTAGAATTATTTCTTAGAACCTGAATATCATCTATGAAACTCAAGAACTATAAATGTTTTCAAAAAAATATTCAAACCAATAGATTATCATTATTTGTTATTTATAAATATAAAGTATGTAGTTTATGTAATTTTTATTTGTAAATAGAATCGACTGGACATTCATAAGGAGAATTGTATGCAAGAAAATGTACTGAATTCTGATAATTTAACAGAAGTAAAATCAGTTAATAATTTTAAGAACTGTAAAATTTGTAAAATGTCAATATCAACTATAACAGAATACAAAATGCATATCAAGGAACATAGAAGAGTATGTATAATTTTTGTCAATGATAATATAAATTATATTATAATTTATTTTTAGTTTGATTCAGTACTAAAAAAACAATATAAATTTACAATAAAACTTAAAAAAATGCACAAAACAAGCAATTTAGTGAAAAAGTTTAAATGTGATCACTGTGAATGGTCATTTAATAAATCAAATCTTTTAAATCGTCATATGAGGACACACACAGGAGAAAAACCATTTAAAGTAAGTTTTTTTAAAGAATCAATGCTACTAATATTTGAGTATATTTAGTATATGTGTAAATTATCTGTATATATGTTTATATATACTATGACAATTTTCTTTTAAGTTTATTTAATTTAAAAAATGTAATGTAGTGCTCATATTGCTCAACATATTTTACGCAACAAAATTCATTAAATAGACATATGTTGAAACACAAAGGATTACGGCCATTCAAATGTGAATTTTGTGAAATGAATTTTTCTCAAAAAGGTAATTAAGAAGTTTAAAATAAAACAATATGAAAAAGTGTTTAAAAAAATTATAAAATTGGTATTCGAAATGTTATAGGTCATCTAATTAATCATATGAAAAGATGTCATGCAGTCGCTAAAGAATCAACAAGAATTCATGAGTGTTCCATGTGTTCTTGTGTTTATAACAGTCTCAATGCTCTTAACAAACATTTGAACACATATCATGGATTGAAAACTATGAAATTAAATAAAAATACTCAAAAGCATTTACCAAAAACTATTGAAACAGAACAAATCAATGAATCCATTGATTTAATTAAAGGTAAAATAATATTTTAATAATTTTTATTAATAAAACCAATAACAAATATTTAAAAGGATTTGTTTGTAATATCTAGATCATTTTAAGTTTACTACTAATGATACTTATATTTGCATATCAAAAAATACCTTTATAAAAAAAGTATTGGATGTTTTATAACCACATTAACCACTCCTAAACTTTGCTCAGAACTATTTCTTGAATTTTACATCCTTCAAATTTAAAAATAATAATTAATTATTTGTGTCAAGGATATTAGATGTAAGATCAGAAGACTCAAACTAAAAACTAGTTTCATTTTTTCTTCTGTTTATCATCTAATATTATTTAAAATTACAAATATAAATACAACTAACTTAAAAAATATTATATTATATTCAAGCTTCCTATTTTTTATAATTTATACATGCATACAAGTTTAAAGTCGTACCTTAAATAAGATTCTTATGATTATAAATACAAGATAAATGTCATTGCAGTTATTAATATATCTTTTTTTACATTTTAGTTATTAATTTAAAAAAATTTATTTCAGATTCTTCAAAACTTGAAAAATGGCTTGAAGAAGTGGCTTATGAATTACAAAATAGTAATAATAATGACCAATCTAAGTAATTAAATAATTTAATTCAAAAATATTTTAAATTAATTATCTATTTATTTTATAGGCATTGCAATGATCCAATTTCTTCTCAATATGAATTTGGGTTAAATTTGATTGAAAATGAACAATATAATCACATTGAAAAAGACTTTAGTCAAATGGCTAATGTAAAAACTAGTAATCATACAGAGATTGAAAGTATAGCATGTTCTCCTCAAAATGGTAATTTATTTTCAACTATCTATAGATATACACATACTTTACATTTCGTAGTAATATTTTCACATACAATCCTATATCGTAAAATGGCCAAACTTAACTAAATGATTTTGCCAATTTCTGAGGCAACTTTTTTTGGCATAATCATTATTGGGTTTTTTTAAAAAAAAACTTATGCTGAATTATTAATTATAAATGTACTTAAAAATTAAAAAATATTGATAAAAATCCACACAAAGCAAATAAACTTCTAGAATTGACAAATAAATTTAAATTAAAACAAACATTAATGAATAGAAAAATCAAATATCTTCTCATTCCAAATTATTAATATTTGACTTCAAGACATTAATTTAGTAGTGAGGGCATGGCATGACACATTGGCTAGCTAATCACTGATAAATTCTGTATTTAAATACTGTATAGCATTACAAACTCTTGGATGTATAATCATTGACTACTTAAGCTCTCAGCAACTAAGCAATGTTCTCAAATTATTTATTCCAAAATACTATCCTGTTACACAAACTCATTGTCACTACTTCAGGTAACTGTCATTAATGCAGAGGTTTAGATCAATAATTAATTAATAATACCTAGCAAATATATATATATATATTTTTCCAATTACTTTCTTTTTAAAAAAAATACTGATACAAAATAATAATAAATAAGATAAAAAGTTTGGTGTATAATCATTTATCATGAAATAAAAGCATCATTAATCATTGTTGAAGCATAAGTCCTTACCTGGAATTGAAAATGTTAATGTTCAAAGTTGATGTGCAAGTTTATTTAAATATTGTTATAATAGTTCATATATAATTTACTGATTAATAAATGTATTTGTAATTGTTTCTTAAAAATATTCATAAATTGAGTTCAGTCATTGTTGTAATGTAGAAGTTGTTACATTTTACTGTAATAGTAGTCCTTTAAATTTCAATAAGTATTTAGTTTCTGATAATAATTTTAATTTTATATACATACTTTTAGATGAAAATCATACAGTTTCGAAGACTAAAGAACAATCATCAACCAATTATGATAATGTTATCAAAATCAAAGTATTTAAACTTTTTATTTTTTGTATCTTAGCTCTAATAATTACATATTTATAAGTAAATAGGTACAATCTAAAAAATATTTTTTAAATATTTTGATACGTATAATATATATATATTTATATTATTATTATTATTAATATTATTATATTTATAAAACAATATAATATTTAAGTGTCTAGAATAGCGGTACCCGGCGATCAGATATATTTAAACTTATTAGTAATGGCTAATGGATAGCTAATATTATCATATTACTTTTATAATCACAGTAATAACGAATATTTGTTTCCATGATTAAACATTTTGATTATTGACCTTAACGCGGGAATACAACAATAACAACCATATGGCCTATTTTTCAGGTTAGGTTATTGGCAGACATACAAAATTCTACAAATTAATTTTATCCAAATTATTTCTATATTTGTTTAAATATTAACCGAATTTTCTGAGTACCTATATAATTGTGGTAAAAACCAAGAGACTTTTTAGATAAAGAGAAGAATACCCTGAATCTGAATGACTAATAATCATAAATGTATATTTTAATAACTAAATCATAATATAAATTTGCCAATTATTCCATCATACTGTTCTTACCATAAGTCAAAGACGTCCGCAAAAATTTAGTTTTAGGGGGAGCCAAAAAAATTGTAATTAAATATAAACCATGTGAAGATTATCACTGCATCTTTCATCTACCCTTATTTCATAATAATCATTATAATATTGTAAAAATCAGGACTAAATTAAGTTATTAGGTAAACATTTTATTCAACTTGAAAAAGTTACTCGTGTTCTCGTCGATTAAGTGAACGATAAGTGAGGACGAATATTTTTTATTATTTCAACTTGGGCCACGTTTACAAACGATCACTAGGAAATCATAAGTGACTAGGTTAATGAAAAATATCATAATGATTTAAGATTAATACCTATTTCATGACTTAAGTACAAAGATTGTCGAATAGTTGCTTAGCATCCGATATAAGTATATACCTACTTAATGTAAAAAAAAACTTCTCATTTTGTAATTGACATGAAAAATCTCCGAGGGGGAAGGGCAATGGCCCTCACTGACCTCATCTCCAGGTGTCCCTACTATTAATTAAGCATTTACCAGATATTTTGTCTGGCCGCCATCAAGGAAACGAGCGTGTCAATAACAAACTAATTATAAAATTATCATTCATTACTTTCAATATTTGATTCTAACTTGAGCCAAAAGCTGTTAATAAGTAGTAGTATTATCAATTAGATACATTTTAAACTCTTATTAAATGTTATGATCACATTAAATGTAATTTAATTGAAGTATTAATTAAAAATAATTTATTAATAAATAATTTATTATAATTTAAGTTAATTACAAACTTATCGTTGAGTGCTATGATCTATTCTGGTTTTTAAATATATTTAATTCATATATAAAAATAATACGATATTTTAGTTGATAATAAATTAAATTAATTAAATAATAAACAAGAAACTTATTTTTAACGTTATAGGAAAAAGAACTTACTACCAATATGAATGAAACAATATCATTAGATATAAACCAAATCACTAAGGTAATGTATATCAGTTTATTAATAAAATATATTTGAAGTCAATTAATATATTTTGTTTTAAAATGTTGATAGTGTTCTTCAAGAAAAAAAAAATCTGGTGATAAAATATCCAAATCAAAAATGAAAACATTTTCGTAAGTTTAATTATTCTCAGGGGTGTATTGGTACGTATACCCGTTAGAAGATTTTCGATTTTCGGCGTATAACTAATGTAAAATATTATTTTACGGGTATACGCTCCAAAAATAACTCGAAAACCTAGTAAAACTTATTTAATAATTCATTGGAAAAATTGTTATGAACTATCAAGTTCAATGAAATGTTTATTTGTTGAAGATTACAATGTACGCTGTTTTTAATGTATTTTAAGTTAAATTAGGAGTAAGTAAATGCAATTTTGAAAAATAGATGTTATTAAGTATAATATGGAGTATGGACATTCAGCCCATGGTTCTTAAATCTGCATCTTGCTATTTATGATGCGCGGTAAATGTATAACTTGTGGTATTGTATTTTATAGTCTTATTAGAAGTTATAAATGTTAGGGATTAATTTATTTTATTCGAATGTAGTGGAAAAAAAATTGTCGATTGATACGAAAACATTTACAGGATTAATATCCATATTTTATTAGTGCATATGCCCATAAATATATTTACCAATACACCACTGATTATTCTCAACTTATAATTTATAAATCATTATCATATAATTACATTTTAGGCCAAAAAAAACAAATTCACGTTCATTAAATTTAAAAAACAGTAATGATAATCAACAATCTATAAAAAATAAAAATAAAATAAGTAATAAAGACGAACCCAAAGTGGTATATGTACCAAATATTACTACTAATTTGGATAATATAAACATTAATATTGTAAGTTATATATACCCTAAATTACAATCCATAATATTTATTAACAATTATTCAAACATTTAAGATTCAAAAGCCTCAACCAAAAGTATGTCAGTTCTGTGGGAAAATATTTAAAAAAAATGCAGATCTTGAAAGACACGAAAGAACACACACAGGTGATAAACCCTATAAATGTGACAAGCCGGATTGTAACAAAGCATTTGCCACAAAGTGTTCACTTGAATATCATACAGTCACTCATTTAGGTAAAATGAAACGAGCTGTATGTCCCCAATGTAGTGGATTATTTGCTACAACATCGTCAATGAAAGTTCATATGCGACAACATACAGGTAAATATTATATTTTATTTATAATGCATAATACTGTAATGTATTTACTAATGTATATTTGACTTTATAAAAAAACTATTCAATTTTTTTACTTTAGGTGAAAAACCGTTTAAATGTCCTATATGTGGTGACGCATTTCGAACGTCTGGTCATTTACATACCCATATAATAATTCATGAACGAAAAAAGAAAAGAAAATAAGTTTTTTTATTTTAAAATATTTGTAACCGAGCCATCAATAATTGTTTTGGATCACAAATCACAACCTAATCAGGCAAGTAGCAAGTTATTTTTTTCGAGAAGATCATCTCTTCCGAAAATCAAAACCTTTACAGTCTCTTTATCCCACTCAATGACGACTCTCCCGTGAAAATAAATTAAACATAGTTTTTGTCCAAATAAAGTTGTGTTAACTTTTTTAAAACAATTATATTCATAATTAAATATATATATATATATATATATATATATATATATATATATATATGCAGAAATATTCTATTGTATGATTATATATAAATTATAAAATATATGTGTATATAAATTAGTTTTCTGTGTATCAAACAACCTTCCTTTTTTTTTTACTTCAATACATTTTTAGTATTAAATATTTATCTGTTTTATTACACTTATACTAACTATAACAATGTATCTTGTACTTATAATAATAATAATAAGCTAGTCTAAAGTATTTTGCTGCTAAAGACAAAACAATTTTTAGCCGCTTCTTCATATGATCTGATACATAATTCATATATGATAAAATATATTGAATGTTTGAGTACAATAATAATATAGTTTTCGTATTAGAATATTTTTCACTTAGTTATTATGTATTTAACATATTTTAACATATTAATTAGGTACTAACTAATATTAATTTTCCATGTTTCTTCTTGCGTGAAATTGATCAACAAATTTTGAATTTAAGATTTCTCAACACATATTTACAATTGAAATCATAGTAAAAACACTTGATTTAAATAAATTAATAAATTTGTAATGTACATTATTTCATGATTATATTATTTACCGCCCTAAACAACTGCCTATTTTTCTAGTTGCAACCGCGTTGGGCCGTCTCTAAATGCATACATATTTTTATGTACACATCTGATACATAGGCGTGCGCAAACCTGTATTTCAGACAACCCCGAATTAAGTAAGAGAGAGGGGCAAGGATGATACCCGTTTGTGCACATGTATCTTTTTTTTGCGACTTGTTTGCGTACAAATGCACAACTCAATTACGCACATGGAAATTTGGCTGTATTCGAATTAGTTCCCATACCTAAAAATTGGGATTTTGTAATTTGCACCAAATTAAAGATATGCAATTTGCACCAAATTAAAAATATGTAATTTGCATCACTGCAGGTAGTCGAAAGTAGTGGTTCGTCGGATCCCAAACGGCTCCCGTCTAATGTTCGCTTATTCTCAAACGGTTCCCGTCCAAAAAGGTCTAACAAACAAGTAAATTCCTAAACGCTCCGGTTTTGTACACCACAAATTCCTTCCCACTTTATAAAGACTTAAGGTACGATTTGGTTAGAGCGACCGTGACCGCGACTGCGACTGCGACCGTGTTTCACTGCGTCAATGTTATTATATGTACCTATACCTGGTTTAGCTATAGCAACTGCAACCCGCGATTTTGAACCGGTCGCGGCGATCTAAATTTCGGTCGCTACACCAGCAGTCATATCGCGGTCGCTCCACGACTATCCAGGTTAAAAATAAAATACTTGATTTTTCAATGATAACAATTTAATCAGTTTTGCGATATGGCACACAATCGTATCAATTTGTGCAGTTTGTTCAGATTTCAATCTGTTCGCGATATTCACCGTCGTTGTGTGCGTTCATTTATTTTTATTATTTTTTTAACATGTCTAGTGAAATGCGTGAAAAAAAATAAAAATAAATGAACGTTTTTGGTTTTCTTTCCGTAAAAAACTCGCTGGTGACGTAGAGCGCTGAAAATACAACGCGTAGTTGTAAATCTTATTTTAAGCGAAATAGTATTGGCGAAATGTTTGATGAACATCTGGAACACACCCACTTACATTTAGAAGACAATGTTATAAGGAGGAGGGAAATAAGTAGTAATTTAAAGCGTAAAGCTCAAGAAAATTTGCATGAAAAGCCCGCAAAATTTCTTCGAACTCAACTTGAACCGAACGATTTAAATGTGTTGACGACACAAGATATCAACGCTATTCGTTAATCTGTATACTATGTTCGTTCAAAATCCTTACCAAAATTATCAAAATCAACAGAAGAAGCTCAAGATAGTTTAAACAAAATTAATATTACAACTTTGGCGGGTGAGAATTTTTTATTTTTTAACGATAAAACGTCAAATATTGTTATTCTTACATGTAACACCAATTAAAACATTTTTAAGGAAAACCGATGTATATATGTTGATGGCACATTCAAGTATTGTCCGAAATTTTTTTATCAAATGTTCACCTTTCAAGTTTTACATAACGGACATTATCTTCCCCTTATTTACTGTTTTTTACCAGATAAAACCTAAGTAACCTACGGAAAAGCTTTTTCAGCATTGTGTAATCACTTAAATTCACAAGTTGTTTTCGTAGATTTTGAGGAAGCTATTCACATTGGATTGCGAAAAACGTAGCCATTGGTTAACATAAAGGGGTGTAGACTAACCTAACCACAGACACTCAAGATTTAAGTAGAATTAAAAAAAATATACATATTAATCGGTGTAGCACAGTACCAACGTAGCCCAAAATATTGAGCAAGGTTCATAATATATTAAATAACTATAATTTAATAACTAATAAGGGAGAAAACTTTTTATTAATTAACAGTGCTGAAACCAATATTATTGTATTTTCATGTAATAGCAATTTGGATATAGGTATTATGTCCAATGAAAAGTGTGTTTATTGACGGTACTTTTCCAAAAGCGTTGTCTAAAAGCGTTTTTACCAACTTTTTTTCAATTCACGGTGTAAAAAAATAACTACTATGTCTCTCTAGTTTTCTTTTTACTTTCATATAAAACAAGTGATACGTATAAAAGCTTTTCTTTTAGTTCAAAATTATTTAAACTCGGATAAAATATATGCTGACTTTGAATTAGCCATTCGTGTAGCGATCTCCGAAGTATGGCCTTTAGCTCAATTAAAAAGTTGTCGGTTTCACTTGGGTCAATTATTGGTCCAAATCAAATAAAAAAATCATTAAAAATAATCTGTGTCTACACAATTAGTATTATATTGATGACCAATATATATATAATATATATCCACGGTCCTGTATATATATATACTCAGGACCGTAGAGAGAGAAACCTGGGCCCGGGAGTATATCTCATATTATCTCTATTATTTTTAACTGCCTATCATTACATTTGTCAGATAACTGTTAGGAGTAAAATAGTATGGGTATAAATGGCGTGGAATAGATATTTTAAAAAAAAACTACTCAAAAATATTATAAATCAATTATTTACAGAAATTATTTAATGTTTATTATATAAATATTTTATTGTCTTGAATTTATTTATATTTATTTTATGTTTAATGTAATTCTCATAATATAATATAAAGTCTTTCAAATTAGCTTTCCTTGGATTTTCTGATGCAAATGAGTCAATGACTATTTTAAAATTAATCTGCCTTGCTAACGATGATTCTAAGCAAAGAGTTGCTAATGCGAGAACTCTTGTTTGTGTAGAACAGGACCGATGAAAGTTTTTTATTCTTAAAAGTAGTGCCGGCGCTAGGTAATTTAGATATCGTTTTCTAACTGGTGATAGAAATAATATTTCTCAATGTAAAATTTCAATGTGTGTCGCGGTATTAATATGATAATTAAAAATCTCGGGGCCCTTTAACAAGCGCGGGGCCTTGGACATATGTCCTAAAAGTCATCCCCTAACGCCGGCACTGCTCGAAAGCACACTGATGGAACGCTCAGCACTATTAACAGGGGCGTAGGTATAGATTATTCATGGAGGGAGTTTCGACTTTAAATTATAAGTAATAGGCTAACGTGAACAAAAAAAAAATACAAAATATTTTGATATACATTAATAAAATACTTTTAATATTATTTTTAAAAATTAAATATTATACAAGTAAATTTAATCGCTACCTACGTTGTGTTAGTTTGTTCACAATGAGTAAAGGATCAACAATTACATCTCTATAAATATTTAGAAGAGCTAGTCCAGTAAGTCGCTCTTGACTAATGGTATTTTGTAAATACGTCTTTAAGCACTTTAACGTAGAAAAGGAACGTTCCGCAGTTACAGTAGACACAGAAAGAGTAGCTAAAATTTTAAGAACATTATAAATGAGAGGAAAAAACTGTTTGTCACACTTTTCCAATGTGTTAATTGAATTTAACTCATTTAAGTCATCACTTATTTCTTCCCACTTCTTGGTCCATAATTGATACTCACACAACAGATTATCAAGTTTTTCATTTAGAAGATACATCTTATGGATGTCTGACAATTTGTTTATAGCATCATACTTATTTTTCATACATTTTGGCAGTAAGATCTGGAGGTTCCCGATCTGTTCATGATGATTAGAAAATCTGGCTGCTAGTTCACTTAGCACATGGTCAAGAAATGGATAATAAACATTTATTTTATAATATATTTCTGCTGTCTCTACAGGATTATTGCTTCGTCCTTTTTGTCTGTTTGTGATTGTAGGTGCTGGAAGTGAGTCTCAATACCTAAAAATTCTTTAGAATCTGTTACAATTTTTAAAAATTCTTCATCGTTTCGTATGTCTTCTAATGTTTTTTTAACGATACCTACATAGTTGCACGCTTCGATCAAATCAATATTTTTAGTTTGAAGAACTTTATTTAGATTTGATGTAAAGCTGAAAACTTTTCGCAAAATGAACAGCGATACTACAAACTGTGAGTTTTCAATTGATTGTCTTAATTGGTAAACTTGAGATGCACATTCTTTTCAGCTATCATGTAGAGCTTGCAGTGCTTCTGTTACTACAGAAAACATTTCTGCAAATCGTTCTACTGCCAAATGTTTTTCCAATGGGTTTCACAAAGAGAAACCAGATTAGCGTGAGTAGCTCTAGCTAACTCTGCTGCATCTTTAAGTAGTCCATCATGCATCGCGGATTGTCTAAAAAAATTTATTACAGTCTTAAAAGTACCAATACAGTTTCGAATCATCGATATTTTACAAGAGTGTGCCAAAACCAAATTTAAAGTATGGGCTGCACAATGGATGAACTGAGCTTTTGGGTATTTCTCTGAGATTATTGTGCGCACTCCTCGATATTGACCACTCATCATAGCAGCGTCATCATATCCTTTTCCTACTAGCATCTCCATATCTAATCCAAGAGTCATTATACATTGCATGATGGTGTTGGCCAACGCTGAAGCCATCACATCTTTTACATGCACAAACTCTAAAAAATCTTCTCTGATGAATATACTATCTCTAGAAGAATCGTCTACGTATCGAACGCACATAGCTAATTGCTCGTACCTTGATATATCTTGCGTTTCATCAGCAAGAGTTGTAAAAATCCAGCATTTTTTATTCTATTGACAAAATTTTCTTGAATAAAATTGCCACATAGATTAATAATTTCGTTTTGTATTGTTGGTGACGTGAACATTGATCGACTGTCGGATGTTTGGGATAAAATATGTTCCTTTAGGAAAAGATCACCCGATCTTGCACGAAATCGCAAAAGTGCACGAAAGTTGCCATCATTATAGGGGGGTTCTGTTAAACCTACTTTGCCAGTTTCATTTTTACCCCTTAGAGCTATTTGTTGACGACCACATAAGATTACGGTTTCAACAATAGAGATCATTTTTTTCCTATTTTCTTCGGCTTGTTTTCTATTTTCTGAACTTATAGATGTTAAAATATCAGTAGTTTTCCCTGCCATAACTGTCATAAACCCTTGAGCTTTTTCAACTGATAACATATGATAGTCTGCCTTACTATGACTGTCAAATACTTGTTTAGTTTTTTTCCAATTTATAAATGGGATGACCACTAAAGACCGTTGTTCTTGTCCCCCACGACCACCATGATTACGACCAAATAAAACGCACACTTTGCAAAGGGTTCCTTTGGCAACATCTGAAAATAAGATCCAAGAATATTGTTCTATCCAGTGGCGTTAGAAAGAAAGACGTCGTTTATCACTCGTAGGAAATTTATATGATAAAGGTGGTATCCACGGTTTTTGAAAAACTTTTAATTTTTTTTTTCGTTATCTGTCTGTGGATTTCCTAGATAGATTCCTACATCATTTTTATATGATAGCTCCTGTTCTGCTTCAACAGAAGAAACATTTTCAGGAGAATTTGAAACTTCGGGATCAGTCAAAACGAAAAGAGACGAAGGTTGAATAATTTGGTTGGTATCATTTATACTTTCAGATTTTTTTTTCTTCTCAAAAAATTTTAAAACCGATGGCTGACTTATTCTCTTCATTTTTTTTTTTTTTTTTTTGTTATAAAAAAAAATAATTTATTAATACGCAACCTTCCAAAATAATTTGAAATATCTAAATATAGAATATTAGAAATTAGAATCTTTAGAGTGAAAATAGTCTGCCCAGTAAACAACAAAAACATTATATTCGACGTTCAATTAACTATATAAAGTATATTTTTATTCGAAACAGTAATATAAAAACTGAAAACGTATAAAATACATGTGTCGCGACTCGCGATTAATCTATCACATTACTAAATTTTTCTAAAATAATATTTAATGTTTTTTAATTAAACTTCAAAAAGTAAGCATAGCGCAATTTTTAAGTTACCATAAAATGTTAAATTTGGTAACAAAAAACACAAATTAAAAATTAATTAGACTTAGAATTTTCTTTAAACGTATATTTAAAATTTTTAATATTGCATTAAGAGGACGTTATACATTCATGTGTTGGATAATTATTTGATAAACATAACCTGTCATAACCGTTTACGAAGTAATAATATATATTCATAAATCATAAACCCATAAGGCCATAACATTTATTTATGTTTGTATGTGTTGGCATCGGCGATCGGCAGTGAACGTTTTAAATATAAATGAAAAAACAAAAAACAATTCGAAATAAATAATTCTGATTATATTTATAAAATATAAATTTTAAGAATTAATTACCTGCTTTGGCTGGAAAATAATATATAGATTAAACGCAAACGTCGCAAACTCACAACTTTACTGCGCAACCGCTCGAGGAAAAATGTCTTAATATAAATAATTGGTAATTTCGTAATGTCCAACACAGTTATAAATTCTTATACTATTAATAAACTATTATTAGCAGTATTGCTGGTACGTCCGTAGGTATACGTTCGGCGCGTGGGCCAAAATAAGATAAGATAAGGACACGCAATTTTGTAGTCAATATTTTATATAAATAACTATTACAATATTTAGGTTTACTTATATCTAACATCTATCTAGATAATCATTATTTTTTGTACTAAACGCGTACTTGTAAAATTGTATTACAAAATTATTAATCTTCACTCTGCAATATATTTTTTTTCTAATGTTCAACTAAAAAGTAATTTTAGTTGTTTGTAGCACCTATATGCAATTTTTTTCTGATTATAATTATTACATATTAACCCATTGGGGTTTTCGAATGGGAGGGTTTGAACCCCCCAAACCCCCCTTACATACCCCCTGACTATTAAATAATATTACTTCAAAGAAAATGGTATCTTTCCATAACCTTTTATATAATATTTCATACGAATGGTGTTATTTTGATTTATAATTAATGACCTTAAAATTTATACACGTTGACCATTTATTTTACCGTGATATAACGCGTCTGTCAATAATCATTAAATTTTAAAGTTTTAACGCCATAGAGGCGACGATAAAATTTTATATCTACCAATAATTGTTGATTATAAAATAAATTTATTCCAAATTTTGTCCGCAGTGTTCATTAAATTCATATCATTAATTTTGTGTTTAATTTTTTTTAATTTTTAGTCCCTATTCCGGGCCTGGGGGGATCATCCCTTTCCCGCTTCTCGTCAAGCCTGTATATTTTATTATATTATAACTAACATCTATTACTTACTATAATTTTTTTTTTTTTTAATTTTATTGCCTGGAATTAATTTTTTGTATTTCAAATTATAACATGAAGTTAAATAAAGCTGCATATAATTGAATTTCCAATTGAGTATGTGCATCATATTTATTAGACTACAATTTTAACATTTTTATCAAAACAGAATACAATATATCTTGATTATTTATTATTCTGGTAGGTACAAAAGGAACATTAAGACTAAGAAATATTAAGAAATATAATGGAGCACATAATATTATAGAAATGTGAAGATTCTAATATAATTAACTCGACCAAAATAATACCTAATGATAATCGAAAAATATCTTAAAACTCAATAAATTTGACATTAATCATTCAATACCAATCATTTTCTGCAGTACATATCCCATTGACTTAACTATTGTTTTTTAAATCCAAATAAGTTAAAATCTGTTTTTGCTTTTAAATAAACATTCCTTTAGTACTTGTACAGAAGGATCAAATATATGTGTTGATTAATACTATGACATTATTAGAATCATTGATTATAAATAATAGTATTTATAATCAATGGTAGAATAAAATATTAATATCTTAAATTTTTAATTCATTGATCATACTTTAATAAATTATGATATAAAGTATTAAAGTATGATCAATGAATTAAATTAAAATAATTAAGATACAAATCTAACTTCACCGATTAATAGCTAACTAAACAGGGTTTTATTTTCGGTAATATTAAATTGAGTCCCAAATATTGAATTGAGTTCCGCAAATATTTTTGGGTTATCGTAGTTGAGTCCCGCATACATTTTTGGGTTATCGGAGTTGAATCCCTTCAGTCTATTAGCGTTACCCAGGAGATACCACGTGGAGGTTGACTGGGAGTCTCCCAAAAATTGTGTGTGATTGTTTACAGTATTTATTTATTTATTTTTTTTAATCGTTATAAAACACAAATAAGTATAAAATACAGTGGCGTATACAAGGGGGGTGTTTGGTAGATATGACACCCCCCTTGAGCCGTATCATATATTACATTATTATAGGAATCTAGGTAAATCGATAATATAATATGAAATATAAAATAATGCACAATACTAATTATATATACACAGGTTAACATTATCGCGATTGCAACAATACGTGACGAAAATTATTCGTTTACGTTTTCGTGCAACACAAAACGTTTAATAATAATAGGTATTGTAGCATCGAATACTGATATTCGAATAGTCAAATATTCGAATGATTTATGGTAAAGCTATCCGAATTCGAATATACATTACATCTCTATTACAGACATTATGTATACATATTAATTAATTAAAATAAAAGTTTTAGTTTGTACGTATTATATATAATATTTAATAATTATAATTAACACCCTCCTTCAGAAAATCCTAGCTACGCCACTGATAAAATACAATAAGTTAATTAATTCGTTTATAATATAATTTAAGTAGTTGTATATGATTGTTTTGTTTATAGTTTTTTTTTTTTTTTTTGATTGTTATAAAACACAAGTCAGTTAGTATAAATTTCGGAACTTTTCTACTTTATCGGACACCCTTTTTTTTGCGATTTTTTTTGGGGGACTTTGTCCTAAATCTACAATTTAGATCCGACAGCTGAGTTTTTCAAAAACGCCAGTACACTGTACCATAAAGAAAACGAAAATGTTATATTTAATAATATAAAAAGTAAAAGTAAAAATACTTTTCTACTATTGGCTGTAATCTTAGTGAAATAACGACTTCATTATCAATTATCTGAATTTCATAAATCATGAAAATGATCAGTTATCAAATTTCTGAATTTTGAATATTTTAAAGACGTTTTAATGCTTTTCAACTTTTAACTTTTTTTTTGGAATTTGAAATTTGACAAAATGATAATTCCAAAAAAATATACAAATGACATTTTGGGAGAAATTGAGAACACCGTTAACATCAGATCAAACATATCATGTATAGAAGATATCAATAATTAGGTTTCTGAATTTGGGGAGTTAATTTTTAATCATTGGAACTACTAACTAACTAACCAGTATTCCGAATGGCCAACGAATTATTTGCTAATAAAGTATTTTACAGTTTTTTTTTTTTTAGATTTTTATAGACTGAACAGTTGTACAAAATTTTAATTTATATTATTTGTTGATATGAATAACAATTATTTATTTTAAAAGTTTTATTTATGTATTCTACAGTATTAGTATATGTATATTTTTTTATAGGTAGAAAATTTGAATTTCTAATTCATATTTTATAATATTTTTTTTTTTAAATACTTATAGGATAAATATTTTAACTATTATAATAATTTATATTTTTATATTTTGAAAAAAGTGATGAATGTATTGATTTTACAATGATATGTTCTTATTTTTTGATTTTTACAGACTGATAAGTAATACAAAATATTAAGTTATATTATTTGTTGATATGATTATATGATTTACAATTATTTCTATTATTTTTTATTTTTAGTTACCATAACTAACATATTTAATTTGAAACAATGTTTTGATAACTGGTAACAGATAATTGATAGCGAAGGTTATCTAATCCCATTGGGATTAGAGCCAATCGTAGAACAGTATTTTCATTAGGTTCTCTAACAATGTACACTATGCTTATATGCGCATAGTCTATACAGAGTCGACTATCTAGTATAATATATATATATATATATATCTGTGGTACAGACCACATAACGTATTTCTTAAATTTATACAATATTTAAGCAATTAACTGAAAGTGGAATTTCCAGTGAAGACATCAACTGTAGAAATTAAAAATCACATGAATAAGTTTAAATTCTTAATTTTTTTTAAGAAGAAGTGAGTTGTTCTTAGTTATACAAGTTATTCATTCATTCTGTATTCAAAAATATTTAGATAAACATAAAAAATAACAATATATTACAACTTAAATTGACTGATTTTAAAACAAAGAAAATTCATTATTAATAAAAAGAAAAAATCAAATACTGCAGTTGTCTCTTCTTCTTTATTAGCATCACAACTCTTCAAGAGTTTTTGTCACTACCAATATCTCCTATAAAAATACCTATTGCTATTGTAAATTGAATATTTTTTTTAAATGTATACTTAAAATAATAATATAACATTTATATTAGGTACTTATATTATTTTTCAGAAAAATAAAAAATCAAGTTAACTTGATAATACTATTAATCTCTAATTAAATTTTTTTATTTTATATCATCTTATGCTTAATGTATTTCAGGTTAACTCATTTAGAAAGAAAAATGAATACTGAAATAGTTCAACCATTTAGTCAATATTCTCTAGCAGAACAAAATATTAATAATTCTAAACACAATATTATATGGTTTGATGGTGAGGTATGTTCTGTAATCATTCTATTTAAAAAAGATTTAATTTTATGATATTCCATCCTATCTGTAATATGCACATAATAATATTTAGACTTAAATAATATATAAAAATAATTTTCAGTATAATGTTATGTAATATTAGTAACTGATTTATGTTTTGAATATTTTGAATTATTTTTTAAAAACAATGCAATGTTTCATATTAAACCCTAACGCAAGTGCTAACCAATCTAAGATTTAATTATCTAATAATTGCATGAGCGCCTAGAAAGGAGGGGCAAGACGGGGCATTTATCCCCCTGGAAAAAATTAATTGAACAATTAATAACAAAGTTTGCAATTGAACAATTGCGAAGACTTCAGTTTTTATTTAATAACGACTTAAGTGTATATAATTCTGATATATTTTATTTTTTGCTAGGAGTGTATTTTTTAATATAATTTTGGTGTTTGATTTAATTATGCCCCTCCCCCTCCCTGATAAATTTCTTGCGGGCGACCATGATTAATTGTATTATGCTCAGTCTTTCAAAATACTTTCAATTAGGCCAATGCTTCTCAAATTGGGAACCATGGCTTCCTAGAAAGCCGTGTTTACATAACTGGAGATTCATGAAATATTTATTTCATCTAGATTATTTTTTTAAAACCTTAATTTGTTTTTATTTATTCATGTATAAAGCTTAATACTATTATAAAGTCTTCTCAAAGTATATTAAAAAAATGTAAATTTATTATACATATTAATCATTAATCTGTGTGAAATAGTATATGTAATTTTAATGTATAATTAAGAAAAAATAATGAACGATTTTGTTTAAGGATATCTTGACAGTCTTACATTCGATTTGGAGGGCTTTATGACAAAAAAGTTTGAGTTAGGTGACAAAATATTTTCACTGAACAAAATTTTTTGTTTCCTAATCAACTAATTTAAAAAATACACAGTTTTCATTTGGAAATAAATTGTACATAAACAACCCTTTAAAAATGATTATGAATTAGTGACTATTTGTATTGAAAAGGAATTTTTGATAAGCTTAACTGTTAAGATAACTCTAAGGTATAAAATATCTTAGCTTCTTGGAATTCAATCATTAACTCTTGATATTAAATATATTTCTAGCCTGCACCTAAAATCATCCTATCTAACTTCATTATTGATACAATATGAGTTGTCTATCCTACTTTTGTTAATACCATTTTTATGTTCTATTTTATTTTCTTTGATTAGAAATTATCTTAATCATAATTAAATCAATAATGAGCAAAGAAGGTTTGATTTACAGAAAATAGAAACAATAACCTTTAAATATAATCAAATATGTTTCAGTTTAAAACAACTCAAAAAACTTTTAAATATTCATGGAAACAATATCTGCAAGTTTATATCAAGTCAGATTAAATATTACCAAATTCCCTAATCTATATTCATTACATATATGCAGTTTTATTTATGGCTACTGTTTTTAATTTAATATTTAATAAATTAAAGAAATTATGATTCAGTTATTGCATGCTTTTAAATTTAAATCAGTATCATTGATATCCTTAATTTTTGCTATTTTGAAATATTTTGAATCTATTAAAGATATTCCTAATATTCCACATTCTATTTAAATTTGAAAATTTATATTTTTTAATTAATATTTAGTTTAATATCTAGTATTAAAATTTGACTGAAAAATAAAGAAACACTTTCATTCAGAATTTAATAATCATTGGCAGAAGTTTCTTGTATCTCCAAGATTTAAATGAATAAAGAAAAACTATTTTACTTAACTTTTAATTCTCTGTATAATATAGCATAATTTGAATAACTCTTACTATTCATAATAATGAAAATGAGTATACTTTACATTGTGAAATACTAATGTCTTGTTTATGTGTTAAATCACCATATTTACTACATAATTGATGATGAATACATATTTTATTTTCAAATTAAATTTTGTATTTCTTTTTTTTTTTTTTTTTGTAAAATTGAGTTCTTGATTTTCAGATGACAGGATTAGATGTAAATAAACATACTCTTATTGAAGCAGCTATAATTGTCACTGATGGAAATTTAAAAATATTAGCTGAGAGTTCAAATATTATTATACACCAACCAGATGAAATATTAGAAAATATGGAAGAGTGGCCTTTAAAACAGCATACATTGGTAAATATATGAACATATAATTTTATAAATTTATGATTTTCTTTTAAAGAAAATATATTTATTACAACTATTAATATTATTAATTGCTTTTTATTTTACAATGCACAATATTTTCAAAATATCTAGATAAACTGATTATATAAGAGCAATTTTAATAATTAGAATTAAATTTTTTTTTTACAAATTCAAGTTTATGTAGAAAAAATACTTCTAATCGTATTTTAAGAAAAACATTTTTTGCTTGTTTTTCTTGAAATTATTGATAAAAAAAAAAAATCTAGGTATAAAAATCTACATAAAAAAAAATAAAAATATTCTTAATTTTAATAATTTACTGTGATTGCTCATTAAATTCTAGACCAATTGCAATTTATAATTATACTCATTATTATATTATATTTAGTTAACATAGTTTAAGTATTTTCATTAAAGATACTTTGTTCAACTTTTTTTTTCATATGAACTCAAATTTTACTATTTAGAATCCAATCTTTATTCATCAGCTATTCTTAATAGGTAAAAAAGGATCATTCTTAAATTTCCAATGCTATTTTCATAATATAAAAATAATTAATATAATATGTGGTATATTAAAAAATAAGGAATTTAAACATAATAATCTAGCCAATAACAGGGGTTGGCATTTCTAGTTTAGACTATAAAATTAAATTATTAAATTTAATCTTAATTTACATTATATTATTTACAATTTATATACACCTAATAATTGCTCATAATAATTACTATAGTTAAGAATGAGATTATTTTAATTATTTATTTTTATTTATAGAGTGGTCTGATTGAAAATGTTAAAAAAAGCAATATATCAATTGAACAAGCTGACCAAATGTTGTACGATTTTATCAAACCATTTGCTCCTAAAGGTTGGTTTGTACAAATTATATTGTATTAATTGAAATAAAAAATAATTTAAAAATGTTTATCTTATAAAGCAAGGATAGGCTCAATATTACAAAGTAAATACCAAAACAAATATTTCCAAAAGTGGTAACAAAAATTAAGGGTCCGGTGCAATAACCAAGTAACTCCATATCTAAAAAATTTTTAGTTTACATAATAAGCTGAATAATTAAATTGATTGCATTTAAATAAAAAAAATATTTTTATTTTATTATCTCCAAAAACGGCACCGAATTCTAAATACTTAGCAACTCTATTTACATGTTATAAGTTTATCTAATGAATAAAGTTACCCATTTATAACACCTTAATGACGACAAAACTGTTTGTTAATTAAAAAAGTAAAACCATGATTATATTGGAGATAATCAGTTATGGTACCACTCTTCAAATAATTTCTATAACTTATACATAAAAAAATAAGTGAATGTATGTTAAAATTTTTATTAAATCATATTAAACAATACTGATATTTTAAAAGTAAAAATTTATATTTATTTTTCTTTTCTTAATTTCGAATAGAGACAAATGGACATAGCCATTTGAACGTGGGGATAAATGAAAAAAAATATATATATATTTTTATAAATTATAAAACCTTTGATATTTTATGTTCATAATGTAACTAATGGTATTGTATCATGTATCATACCTTATCAAATTTTATTCTTTTGGCAATAGGTACCTTTTATATCAATATATATAACTTATTGGTTTTTACAACTTGTAATAATTATCATACTTTATCGAAACACGGTGATACACGAGACACGACAATACACATCTATAACCGTGTTAGTCGTGTACAAATTGCATTCAAGTGTACGTGTAAGATGTCATTAATTAATTCAAATTGCGATGGTAAAGTTTTTTTGAATGAATATTTATGACATTAAAATTTACATATTATAATAAATATAAATAACTATTTATTTTATTTACTGATTTATATATATATATATTTTATGTTCATTTGTCCCCACGTCCAATTCATCAATTAATCTATCAAAACCAGAATATAGATGGAAATATAAAATAAATAAAAATTTGAATCTCTTTGGACACACATGGTGCTATTTTATATATATGGATGGTCAGCAGATAATACCTATTTTGCCTGTCACGTATCTCAATAACTTTTTTATTTAAAATGTCTTGTTTTATATTGCCTAAAGATAAGCAATCGTTGTCTCAACGCCTTAAATGTTTAATTTCTGAGTTTGGTGAAAGTGTATTTTCCGTTGATAATAATAATTGAAAAATTAATACATAATAGTTAATGTTTTATTTTGCAAAATTTGCGAAGTGAAAATTGATTCCTAAAGACGATCCAGTATTACAGATAGTGTTGTGCATTATTACGAACAATTGTGTGAAATTGTGGAAATTTTACTCAGAAGAAGCTTTATGTTTAATAATAGCAAAAAAAAAAAAAAATTGTTAAAGAATTATGTAAAATGTAATCTGGTGTACATAAAATCAAATTTCAAAGTACTTTCTGATTAAATTTTAAAATTACAAAAAAAATAAAATAAATATGCCTTTATTTAAATTTAAATCTCACCATGCAAATTGCCATAAGACACAGCATACTAATCAATATATGCATACATCGGTTGTTTTGAATTTACAATATAAATATTCTAAATTAATAATTCAAATTGGTAGATATAATTAACGATAAAATGACATTTTTTGACTTATAGTTACATGCAGTGGGGCCCTAGAGGCCGCCGCCCTTCCAAGCCCATATCTTATTTTTTAAAAAAAATGTATATTGTTAACAAAAATTGCATATTATAATATGTAATATGGACTATTATACGACACACACAAGTATGTAGATAAAGCCATAGAAGTATGATGGTGTATTCAATGTACCTGCTATCTATATTATGAAAAATCATTAAGACTATAAATAAACTATATTAATATGAAATATACTCTGGTGTGATATTATACATTGATTTTACTGTTCAAAACATGAATTGCGTAGCACACATTTCTGTACGAACTGTACCCGTATAAGTACATAATTATAGAAAAAAAATAAGATGTATTAATGAGAAAAAATTGAATCTCTTTGGATAAACATGGTGCTATTTTCCTAATAATAGTCATAACAATTTAATTCAGTTTTTGTACCAACCAGATATAAGATTTTTAATAATAATAATTTTGTATTCAATTCCTCGATGGAACTTAAAGCTGAAAAAATAAAAAATAAAAATAATTTGATGTACTTAACATCCATCCACTCCAGGTTACATGCAGATGAACGTCTTCCACGGTAACACATAGTTGTGTTACTTCTGGAACACCAACGTGATAATAACAAAAAAATATTCTTGTGAACACAACGAAAATCCAGCAATGAGAGAGAAATTTACCACTGGTACAAGGACTTGCATAATTATTAGCTGGCCGGTTTACAAAATACCATTGACTTAGGGAATTGTTTAGAATAGAGTACATCATGTACCGATAGTTATGTAATTATAATAGTTTTAAACAAAAATATATCAATGACAACTATATTTTGGACCCATGTATATATGTTACAACTTGCCATCCCTTAGTTTAGAGTAGAAATTGCAGGCTTTCGAGATAATCTTGGGATTATGTAATTTTTAAAGCACTTTTATCGCCTTAAACATTTTTACAATTAAATTAGTGTATACAATTGACAGTTTTCTTTTTCCTTAAAATAGAAATGTAAATAATTCAAAATATTCTCAATTTTTTTCATTATAAATAGAAAATTTGAGTTAAAATAAAATAATCCATTTTTAACTTAAAAATAATTATTTAAACACATTTTAATAGAATATTTACATATGTATAACCTTGATTAGATACATTTATTAATTATAAATATTTTGTTTTCAGGAATGTGTCCATTAGCTGGCAATTCAATTTACATGGATAGAACTTTTATCAAAAAATACATGCCAAAACTTGAAAGTCAATTAAGTTATCGATTAATAGATGTATCCACCCTTAAAGAGTTGTTTAAGTATGGCTTAAATATAATACTAATTTTAATTAACAATGTAATTCAATTTACTAAAATATTTTTTATATGGTATTTATATTGGTACTACTATTGATTTTATATACTCAAAAATTAATGGTGTTACTAACCTATTATTTCAGACTTATAAACATTAAAAAAAACACATTGCCATACCCAACTTTAAAGATTTTCAATTTTCAGCAAGATAATAAATATACAGAAAATATTAATCCATTAGTGCCTGAGTTTTTTTAATCAAATTTTTTATAAAAATGTTTTTGAAAACATTTATTAAACCTCAAAAATACTTGTAAACAAAAAAATAATATTAACATTCGTTTTTGAAATAAAAGCTGTTGCCATATGGAAACACTAGGAACTTTTAACTTATTTTATAAAAACTCAATAAATTCATTTTATATTATCTACATCAGCAGTTCCCAACCTTTTTAGTAGTGCGAACCACCAATTTCATATAAAATCATTAAGGCTCATCAATAGTTATATATGTATAATATACATATACATAAGTTTGTTTAATTTATTTATTAAAAAACAATTGTTAATCAAAAAATAAAAAATAAACTTCATTGAACCAGATTATTCAACAGTTAAACAATTTAATGTGATTTTTGATTGTCGTCCACAATAGAATCGATATCTGGATTAAAACTGAAAAGTTTTAGCCTAAATCACTTTCAAAATTCAGTTTATTTCTTTATTTATTTTTTAAAAGAAAAAAAAGCTCGTCTACACAGATACACAGATTGTTGAAATATAGCCCATCAAGTTTTAAGTGAAATTTAGAGATAGCTGGAAAGCCTTGTTAAATATTTAACTAGACTTGGTAATAATGATGTAGTTTTAAATAACAATTGAAACAACATGAAAGTTCAATCAACAAATCTTCTACGCTTGCTGATATTTAATATTTTAAAAATAATGTAAATAATATTAATATAATATAGTTCACGACCCCGTACTACCCTGCTCTCAGCCCATGGGTTAGGAACTGCTGATCTACATTACCACATGGCAATTTAAGGCGCTAATGAGTTAAGTTATCATTATTTTATTTATCATTGTTATAATATTTATTATATAATTATTTTAAAAATGTATCTATCCATAAGTATTATTTACCAAGTTTAAAATTTAATTTTAGACGCTGGAAACCAGAGATAATAAATAAAGCACCAAAAAAATTGGGTAGCCATAGAGCACTTGATGATATTAAAGACAGTTTACTAGAACTACAATTTTACAAAAATCATTTCATGTTGTAAAAGGTAATTTAATTATATTCTAGAATAATTTTACCAACATTTTATTCATACTTAAATTTATTAAATTTGTATGACCATTTCAATGAATCATAATATTAATACAAAAATATAAGTTTATTTCTATTATCTAATTATATATTAATATTTTAATCTCAAAATGTAAGATTTTTAATCAAAATTGTACCCCTGAAACCTTATGTTTTTTGCATTTTATTCTATCAACAATCACCAACTATCTTTCCTCTTAATCAATATTTAATTTTATTATACACTTAATGAAAATTTAGGTTGTTGTACAATATATGATCCATCTTGTTATTAATATATAGATTAAAGGTCTTGAAGATATTCTTCAAGTATTGTATCTTCATTCAAATGTAAGGAACACCACCATTTGTCTTGAAGCCGTCTAGTAGGTAAAGGAGAAGCTTTATTCCAACATAACTATTTTTTAATAATCAGTGGCAGATTTATGAGGTCTGGACCCCTACAGTTTCCGATAATATGTTATATTTGTTATTATTTACAGAGCATAGTTATAACTGTCTATAATGAAGAAGTGTCTTCAAACTATTTCAAATTCTTGCTACTAACCTAATCAAAATATATTTAAGAAATATGACTAAAGTGAAGCTAAATTATTATATAAAACTTTTAAAAAACTATTTGTCAAATTAATGCACTTAATTAAATTAAATTGCAAACTAGATTGAATGGCTTGGCAATAATGTCGATTCATAGAGATGAAAACTGTTTCACTGTTGGTTTAATATTGATCGAATTTAAAAACTAATAATACAGTTTTGTTTTTGGTAAATTTCAATATCTTTTTTGATAAAGTTTTAAAAGCTTGATATGGTAATTTTTTCTTTTGTGCAAAAAATTGACAAAAAGGCCATTTCTGTCAAAAATTCACTATTATTAGAAAATTTTTACGCCATACTTTCAATTACTATATCCAGTAAATAGTTATGCGCTTAACCAACTGTGTGCTTTTGTTCGACATGGGATCATAATCTCTGCAGAAAAACTTATAATAGTGATCGCCGATTGGCCCGTATTTATTTTTATCTAATTTACCACTGCATTAATATACTATTAATGTACTACGAAATAAATAAATTGTATAATCTTGGACAATTTGTCAACAATTACATTTAACCATTAGGTCATTATCAGTATTTATACTCAATATTATTTCTGTTCGTTATGATATTACTTGCGCTGGCGTGGAGCGACTTCATTGTACCGCAGATTATATTAAACATTTAATATAATCTGTGATTGTACCATAGACATGTAAAGATCTTAATATGTCTATGAATTGTACTGTGTGCACTAGTCAGCAAACAATACCTATTTTGCCCGTCACGTATCGCAATAACTTTTTTATTTAAAATGTCTTGTTTTATTTTGATGTTTTAATATTTTAATGTTTTATTTTGCAAACTACAAAGTGAAAATTGATCCCTAAAGGCGATCCAGTATTACAGACAGTGTTGTGCATTATTTCGAACAATTGTGTGAAATTGTGGAAATGTTACTCAGAAGATGCTTTGTGTATAATAATAGCAAAAAAAAAATTTGTTAAAGAATTATGTAAAATGTAATCTGGTGTACATAAAATCAAATTTCAAAATACTTTCTGATTAAATTTTAAAATTACAAAAAAAGTAAAATAAATATGCCTTTATTTAAATTTAAATCTCACCATGCAAATTGCCATAAGACGACACAGCATACTAATCAATATATGCATACATCGGTTGTTTTGAATTTACAATATAAATATTCTAAATTAATAATTCAAATTGGTAGATATAATTAACGATAAAGTGACATTTTATGACTTATAGTTATATGCAGTGGGGCCTAGGGGCTCTAGGGGTAAAATATAGAGTAAAATAAATAAACCTTTTATTACGAATATAAATGATAGATGATCATGTATAAGGTATCTTTTAAAATAGATAAGCATTTTAATTGTCATTAATGACGAGATTGTACAAGTATGATTGGAAGAGTGATTTCAAGAGTCCTGATGCTGTACCTCGAGCTCCAAACCCAAGTCTAAATACTTTCCAGCATAAGCACGGATCTCTTTTTTAGGGTATGCAGAAGGATATCACTATTACTGCCCCCCCCCTCACACTGGAAATTATTTTAAGCGTTCAAAATGCTGGTTAAAATATACACAAATGTCGAAATAATTGTTTAATTTAAAATTAAAATTTTTTTCTTAAAAAAAGTGATTCAATGGCCATTTCTTTTTCGTTATAACGGGCTGGGATTTCGATGCACTTAGCATTTTTTTCTAAAGCTTTCTGTACGATACTCGTTTTGTTACAGATATGTTTTAGGTATTTTTAATTAAGAATAAGAAATTCTATTTTGCATTTTTTGACAATTTTTGATTTTAAAGTCATTTTTCTCATTTTTTAGGGTTTTTAAATCATTTTTGGTGTTTTTGAATTTAAAATTATAGATTATCAATTTTTTTTTACCGACAGATTAGTGTTGGTATGCAATGTAAAAGTTGCTGTTGATAAACGTTTTACGATATAATATATATCAAGAGACAAATTTATAAATGGAGTACAACGAAGAGAACAAATTGAAGAACAAGAAAAAAATATGAATATCTACAAAAACTTATTGGGAAATAACAGAAGGCACGCTCTTGTGATTTAGTGTAACCAACTTTAAAAAGCTATTTTAAATGCATTTTTTTAGTTTTTTGTCATTTTTGCATTTTTTTAAGGTCATTTTTTTGCGATTTTGAAGAACATTAAAATCCCAACCCTAATTATAACTGTTTTCATCAGTATAATTTAAAATAAATTACAAGAAAACAAATTAAATATATAACACTTCAAATGATTTGAGTATTATATTTAAATAGTGTAAATAAACAAAAATATACTTGATCATTTCACACAATTCTACGTTAAGTCGAATTTTCAAAATCATCAATAATGTCATTAGGATTTACATTTTTAGCAATTTCTTGCTATATAGTCAGGGGTGGATTGGCAATTATTTTCGGCCCAGGAAATATGAAACAAACCAGCCCATGAACCACAAATTAAACTATTTTATTCCTCTCCCTCCCAAACAAAATGCTATTATTTTGCATCAATTTCAAAATTTGTTTAGTTTCACTCCTAAATTAGTAAGATCTACAATAATTTTACTATAATTATAGCTATAATAGTTTTGGGTAAGTTACATAATTAGTTTGATCTTAATGCATCTTTAAACATGTATTTATTTTTTTAATAGTTTTTATTTATTTTACAAAATAAAACTTTTTTGGAAATTATATAATAATATAGAGCGGCCCAAACAAGGATTGGCCCATCAGGAAGATTCCCGATTTCCCGATAAGCCAATCCGCTCCTGTCCATAGTTAAGCTATTTAATCTCTCTTGAAGTGTACCTAGTATTTCTTAATTTTGACTTCACCAATATTAATTTAGTAAATTATTGCTTTCATGTATAATTTATAACTGTCATTACTGCAAATTTCTTTATCACAATAATAAATAGTTCAAAAATACAATGTTTATCTACAGGGGCGGATCCAGAGTCGAGGAACTGTGGGTCAAGCCATTTCAAGAGGCCATTTATTAGGGATGAAACTGAATTAGAAATTAATACCTTGTAAAAAAAAATAACACAATATGCTCATAAAAGTGTATTAGTATATTTATATTACATTCTAGAATTAGTGATTCACTAACAACTATACAGAATTATAATTTTAACATGTTTAAATTATTTTCAAAATTTACAGAATTTACATTTCTGATTACATATATCATATAATGTAGGTATTTATAAAAACATCTGACAATTAATAAATATATATATAATCGCAAAGGATTGTTTTTATTGGAGCTAGGTAACTCAGGAGTCCAAATGTTGGGTTATGAGGAGCTACTCAGGAATGCAAATTTAAGATTTTGAAGAGCTTCCGCAGGGTCCCTATCTGAAATCTTAATTTGGAACTCCCTGGGATAAGCAATTCGGATTACTGGAATGGCGTCCCTGGAGTAAAAATAAAGTTCCATTGGAGCTCCATAGGAATCCTCATGCTGTTGGCACGGTTTATGATATACTTAATATATAGATATATATAAGATATATACATCTTAAACCAAGGCTGTTAGGAAAAGACATTCTGTAGTATATAGTATCAGAATTGCACCTGTGCGAAGCACAGTTCATTCCTATTCAAGAGAATTAACATACAGATTGAAAATAAAAAGCCAATATGTCCTTATCACTCCCTGGTAACATTAATCATCATCTAAAAATAAATTGCTCTAGAGATTTGATTAATGTATAAAAACAAAAAATAAAAATAAAACATTCTGATGCGTAAATGAACAATTTCCTCTACAAGTCAATCGTGTACTATAAACTATATAAATTATATAGTCCTAGGCGCAATTTCAATGAAAAAACTGGGGGTGCTGAAGCCTTCTATCTTTTTCATGTTTCTTAATGGTAATATACACCCACAACCCATATAATTTAACAGTTACTAAAATATTTGGTAAATATTTGAATATTTCTAAGTTTAAATTGATGGCTTTGATTTTATATTTTTATTGCGCATATAATGAATTACCCGTCAGTAAACACAAATATTTCATCACATGATCACTTTCAAATTCTAATTGAATCGAAGAATATTATGGTTTTATAATGATGTTTGTATTTTATTTTTTTTTAACACTTTTTCGCATAGAAATACTGGTCCAAAAGTTTTTTCTAGGAAATGTTTAGATTTTAAATTGGCATGCAGTGGTTCTTTAAATAGGTAATTTTTTTTAAAATCTTAATAGTTTATCTAGGAGTAAGAAAAAAAACTGTCCTGAAACGGTAAAAATACGCTGTAAATGAGGACTTTCACTTTTCAACTTTTTGAAACTCTATTTTTCTATACATAATAAGTAATGAGTATTTAAATGTAAATTAACATGAACACATTTGGAGATACTAAGCACACCCAAGCCCTCCCTAAATTGCGCCAATGTATATAGTAATCAACTTACTCATTGTTTAAAAAAAACATATTTTAAATATCTTTTAACAAAATAAAAAAAAAATACATAAATTTATCATGAATATAACTATTGTTATTAATTCATACTTATATCTATGGTAGTAGATATTTGTTTTGAAAAAAAATTGAAAAATGTTAGACATTATAACTTCTGTTTCTAATTATTTGAATTCCAGTACCTAGTTTTGATTAAATATACATAGATACACAGTTCTTAAATTGTATTAATACTTTATTATGTGCATACATACAAAATAAATAGTATGTAAATATAAAAGCATAACCTTTGATGACAATGCTCAAAATAATAAAAGTACCTAAGTAGATAATTTGGTTACTACTATTTTAAATAAATGAATGAGAAATACAAATTTTGCTATTAAATGAATATTTTATACTTTGAAATAACTGAATAACATAAAATATTTTCATTTTAAGTACTATAGGCTAGAGAAATTATTGTCAAAATGATGCTACCAGCAATCACACCATAACCAGTTGAATATACTTGTTTTATGGTCAAACATTTACCAGCATCCCATATCTAAAGAAAATGAATAGTTATAATTAATATAATTCAACTTAAATGAGCACTAACTAATAAATGTATAAAATCTCACCAAATGTCTAATACCATTACACAAATGATAGAAGAATGGATAAGCCACTAATGCTTTGGCAGACATGATAGCTGCTGATGGTAGTTGTAGGCTATGGACAAATTCTACAAATGTTGACACATCCGTGAAAATAAACACTGTAATTATTTTAATAATTTAGATAAATAAAAATACAGGTGGTCTCTGAAGGGTATATCCAATAATTTTATTTTGTTCACTTGATGGGCATTAGTTAAAATAATCTGCCAGAAGAGTAGCATTTTTTAAATAACTTCATATCTACATTTAAATATTCATTGTTATAACAGTGGCCTGGTAAAAAATTTGGCAGCCCTATTTTAAAACTGAAATGGTGCCCCTGAACTTTATCAATAACCATAAACTGTTTTCATTAAACTAACTTACATGCTCCTAATCCGGCAGTAATACTACTCAACGCAACACCAGTCCCACGATGTGTAATAGATAGTATGCTAGTTAATTGAGGCTTATAAATGGTCAAGTGAGGAGACATAGGTCTATGAAGCCTGAAATTTTTCTCATCGTGAGTCTCTCCAACTTTGTATTCAACTTCTTGAGCACTTTTTACTTGCATGGTAATCATACGATGTCTAAAAATATAATAATAGATTTTAATCAGTTAGATAAAATAAAGAAATTTCGAATGGAATAGGTTTAAAAAATCATAATCTGTTCATACAAAATATTTTAAAAAGAAAAGAGGTAGGGTTTAACCAACTGAGGATTAAGTATACATATGGACATTTAATGCCATCAAGATGATCTAAATATTGTAAGAGAATCATTACTTATTGACTGCAAAGTTATTATTGAAGAGAATGGAAAGAAAAATATTACTTTGGAGAACTTACATCAAACACTATAACCAATGAAATCAGGGCTTTTACAAGCTAGTGGTAATGAACACATATTTAAATTTTTCATCACTACGGTATATGTATGGGCAGTATAATATGTTTTATAAATAACAACACCTACCTATTTAAAACCAATATTCTAATATCTAAAAATATTCAAATATAAAACAATAATAAATAAATATAAATGCTTTTGTGCATTTTTTATGAATCTTAAAAATGTATTATTTTTTTTAAATTGAAATGACTCTTATTTAGTCAATTTTGAATTAAAAACATATTTGATACATCAGTTATTTTAAAAATAGCTTTATTCGAATATGATATTCAAAATAGTGTTGCTATTTAAAAAAACGGTTTATTTCCTTTCATTTTTATAATGTCTGTTTTTATTTGCAATTGAAATTTATTTAGTTATTATATTAAAACAAATATATTACTTAAATCAGCGTTTCCCAAACCATGGATCTCGAAATTTTTTTCATAGGTCGCCACTCGCAGTCATGATTACGGTTGTTTTAGCAGTAAATTGATACCTCTATACAACCTCTATAAAGTCTATATTGTATAATAATGTGAAGTCTAACTTGATTTTTTTTTTTTTAGTAAGGGGTCACGGAGCCAAAAAATGATTAAGTATGAGTTGCCATTGCAAAAAGTTTGGGAAACACTGACTTAAATGATTTGAATGTTTGTAGTAAATTTATAGTACACATAAAATTCTTAGTTAAATTTTTTGATTGTGATAAGTAATCATACACAAATCAGTCTATGATTCCGTAATTTGTAATTAGTTTTGTCTTACCACAAAAAATATACTATTTTTCAGTGTCTTGTTCAAATTATAAAATGACAAAGAACAAATACTTGGCTCAGGGGTGTATTTTAGGGGGAGGCAAAGGGGCGATCGTCCTCACCTGAATTCGTATTTAAGAAATTGATTATATGTGAGATACCTACACATTTCAATTTTTTTTAATGTAGATCATATTATAACGAAATCAAGTTACGCGTGGCTGTGAATACTGAATTGGGCTTTTTGTCAGTCCATACTTAGTGAAAAAATCAAATAAAACAAGCATTACTTTCAAAACACAGACAAATGTTAAAAAAAACTACACAAAAGCCTATTCTAAGTGGATCCAGAATTAGAATAAAAAAAAAACCACAAATATTAAAGATTCACCTACTTTAAATATTACCAACAATTTTACTTGTAAATTTTAAGCCTAAATTAAAAAAAAATTTGAGTCGCCCGGGGGGGGGGGGGGGCAGAATTATGTCTAAATACGCCCCAGACTCGGTTTTAATAACTTGCTGATTTTTACAAAAACTGTATTTCATACAACCAATAATACAAATTAAAATAAGTAATAGTGTTATCAAAATGACTGATCACTTTCCAATTAACTATAATCGAGTATTCAAATAATGAATTATTGAATTAATTTAATTAAAATCAAAGTCAAAGTACTAATCAGTTTTTAAAAATAACATCTACAACTAAAACAAAAAAGTTAATAAATCATAACTTTTGCTGTAATGTTTATGACAAAGACAAAAAAAAAATCATAACTATGATATATTTACTTACATTATTGGAGTTTTGAAAGACATTGTTTGTCTTGCTATGTATAATCCTTGAATACTGAAATATTTTATAGAAATAAATTATAATAATTAATAATTAGAAATTATCAAAATGACAAAAATGTTATTTTTATTATTTAATTATATTATAATTAATATGATAAATGAAAAATGAATAACAATTTTTATAAAACAATATGTATATATTCTTTCAAAAAAACCCATTAAAATTAATACAATAATTATTAATACCTATATATTTTTTGTTATAAAAACTTAATACAAAGTTTATAATTTTTTGTTTTTAAGAATAAAAGTAATTTGAAATGGATATTCTTGATCATGTATTGACTGCCTAAATATTTGAGAGTGTTGCCAAGCTAAATCACCAGATCCACCAAATAAACATGCACTTAATGTAACAAAATTAGCACCATCCATTTGATCAATAATCACTTCTTGAATGTTTTCGATAACAGGCAAATTCATAGTAAAGTCATTTCCAATTAATTTCCATTCAATTTGACCATTGCTAAATAAAGTTGAAGTACAAATTAATGATATTCTCCGTACAATTAAATCAGTTGAAGTGAAATCAAACTTCCATTCTACTGTTGATTTTTTACAGTTTTCTTCTCTACATAGATATACTCTTTTCCAATCTAATTCTTCTTTTCGGAACAATGAACTATAACTATAAACACCATTTTGCCAACCTTCACAAATGCTATTATCATGAATATATTTATCCATAGCTGTAGAATACTTAAGTTCAAATTTTTTTTTCGCAATTTCACTTTTAGTTGGAGTCCAAATAAATTGGTTTATTTGTGTTTCTCCACGAGCTAATCTCCAAGTAAGAGCACCAGAAGTTCTGCCTCCATAATTTTCGTTATTAGTAATTTTACAACCAAATAAAAGTTCAATACATTCTTTTAAACGTCTTTCTGCAAGATACTTAGATCTTATTAATGATAAATTATTTTGTCTTTGTTGTGATAAACTTAAAATAGTATTTAACAATTCATTTTCTGTACAAAGTGTTCTTCTTTTTAAAATATCATCACTGTTACTAGTATAGCGCCAGGTAACATCTTGAACTTCTTCATTAGAATAAGCTAAAATATATGATAACTTTTTGCCCCACCCTTTTTCGTATAGTAATGGTTTATCTAGAGCAGTTTCACAAGGATCACAATGAATCCATCGCTTTTGTTGAACTGACCAAACTTCTGTCCACACATGATCAGTTTGGTCAACTACCAATCTTGCTTCCCAGCCAAGTGCTCGACAGAAAAGAGTGAAACAATAAGCCCATTCACCACATCTACCCTTACGAACAATTAATAGTTGTTCACAGATACCATATCTCTTAAAATCAGTAATTAAATGACAATTTTCACATTCGTAGATTTCAGCATACCTAACATTTTTTTCCTTGATTTCATGATTTATTCCTTTAAATTTAGTAGTATTACAACAAGATTGGCAGGTAGGTGTATCAACCCATTCAAAAAATTCTTCTTTAAACCATTTCATCAATTTCAACATCATTTGTTCATGATAAAATAATTCTGTACTTTTGTTAAAATTTAAAAATAACTCGATACTTTCTGGAGTTAACTTTTCCAAAGCTTTATTTTGTAATATTTTATCTTCAAAGTTAAGTACATCTCGAGACTTTAAACTAATTTCTTTTAAGAAATTATTTTCAGTAAATTTTAATCTTTTTTCTTTTGAAATAATGTTTAATAATTCTTGTTTATGGCTAATTAGTGAACTTGAGCTTATAGATTGAGGTAACACTAAAGAATTTTCATCGGAAATAAACCCAATTTCAAAAAGAAATTCCATGGCACCAGCAAATGGTAAAAGATTATTTTGAATGATGTCACTGTCCAAGAATATTCTCCTGAATTTCTGTTGATGAGGATAATTTATGATATCATTTATAAGTTTTAATAAAACATTTACAACTTGAAAACAGATATCACTACTATTGCTTTTTATATCGTTTATACTTTGTAACATTTTTCAACGTTAGTGGTTAATTAAAATTAAATAAAAATAAGTTTAATTACACGTAAATCAATAGTATATTACCTTCTTAAATACAGAGCCATTATGAGGATAAAAATGTATAATACAATTGGAAACACGGACACTGTAAATTAAATATTTTCCTGATAAATGAAGTTGAAAAAACTAAAATTAATCAGAGATTTAGGGATTGTGATAACTATAAGAGGTGTTGGTATATTCACTGAATATTGTGCTTGTTGAAAATGGTAATAAAAGAAGCAGGCAATCCATCAATTGACATCAGCTGATAATTATTGTTGTCAATGATAAAAATAATAATAATGATAACAAAATTAAAATAAAAACATTTTTTAAACCTTTGAAAATAATTAAATTGGTATATGATTTTACAAATTGCATATCATTACAATGCTTTTGACTTACTTAAAAAATTACTGTTTAAAATCTAATTAAAATATATCTAGATTATTTATTGAAAATTTGACACACTTATTTATTAAATATTAAAGTATAAGGCTTAACTTTATAATTATAAGCTTAAGATATTGGCTTGATTGTTTTTTGATTTTAGAACCAATTTATTTTAATAATTTAATCTTTATCTGAATATTCACTAGCATAAATGTTACAATATTAATATATACATATTATAAGATCATAATCTTAATACTATTTAATGTCAACATAAAATTATGTTTAATAAGTAATAATTTCATTAAATATTTTATAAGTACGATATTATATACTTACAATGTAATATTTTTAAATTAAATGTTTCAATATTTTTAGGAGGAAATATTTAATTGCCATAACATGGAATGTGTAATTGCTGTTCATTCAGGTAAAATAAATTAATATTTTATGCATGCATTTAAAATTTTATATTATTATATATTAACTTTTCTAAATTTAATTCTTATTAAATATTTTTAGGTGCAGGTTATCAAAAAGTATCTAAAGAAGCATGTTATAAAAAAATATGTATGAAAGCATGTAAAAAAGTATTTATTTTATTTTTTTGTTTATATTCTATTTGATTTTGGTTATTAAAATTAAGTATTGGATTTAGGGATTAGAGATACTAAAAAATAATGGATCAGTACTAGAAGCAGTAACTGTAGCTACCATGGTTTTGGAAGATTCTCCACTGACTAATGCTGGATATGGATCTAATTTAACGTGGAATGGTTCTGTAGAATGTGATGCCAGTATAATGAATGGGTCAAGTATGCACTATGGAGGTGTTGGTGCAGTTTCGGGTATTAAAAATCCAATCACTCTTGCTAGACTCATTTGTGAAAAACAAAATATTAAAATGTCATTTGGAAGGATTCCTCCATGGTATTTAACTATTGATAAAATATTAAACTTTGACTCTTACATGTATTTTGAGTAGAGAGAAGAAAAAAATAGTTCAGATAATGCACCATAGTTTAAATACTATATTTTATGGATATAGTTAAATATTTGATGGTATGTAAATGTATTTTTATTAATTGTTGTGTTAATTTTAGTTTACTGGTTGGTCAAGGTGCTCATGAATATGGAATATCAAACAATATTATTGCTGTTGATCCTTTAAATTTAATTTCAGGTACATACAGTAGACCTCTAATCCGTCACCTTTGGTTTTGGGGGGTGTGAACAGAACGCAAAAAAAAGTCAGATTATCTGAATATGCGGAAACATTTAAAGAAAAAATATTATTAAACTATTTTAATATATTATTTGAAATTGCAAACATATATTAAGTTAAATAAATAATTGAATAATAAAATAAATAAAAAAATAGATAAATAGTAAACTGGAAATTAATTTATAAATATATTTACATACTATAAATTGGAAAATCCAAGTAAACATATTTTTAAAATATTCATATTGATAATTCTATAATCGTATTAACCGGAGTGATGGACAAAAGAGGTTCTCGCCACCTAACTTGACATTTTTTGTTTAATTTTTTTAATTCTATTTTATTTGTGCGTGTATTATTATTTAGAAAGAGCTAAAAAAGACTTTGTTCGCAACAAATATAATGTAATAAATCAAAATAGTAGTAATAGTCATCAGGTAAATTGCTTTTAAAATAATTAAATAATTTTAAATAATCTTACACCTATCTTTTAGATTGGAAAATCTAGATTAGATACAATAGGATGTGTGGGTATGGATAAGTTTGGAAATGTAGCTGCATCATCTTCTAGTGGTGGAATTTTATTGAAACAAGATGGTCGTGTTGGTCAAGTAACTATTTATATTTATTTAGTAATAGTAGCTATTTTTTATTAATTTATTTATGTTTTGCATGTTTATGCTAATGTTAAAAATACATAAGTTTAGGATGAATTTTATAAATAAAAATACTTTTAGAATAAAGAAAAATTTGTATATTTTTATCTAATAATATATTGGAACATTTAATATTGATGAAAATTATAAATAAATATGGATTCTGGATATTAGAATATAAAGAAGTGTTTTCATTTTACATTATTTAACTGGTCCCTTTTTATTGTTTAAATTGTATCAAGAAAGTCAAAAATTTACCCTCTTGTTTTAAAAATGTTTAAAATATATAAGGTTTTAAAATTATTCTATTAATTTTAAAAAAAATTGTTGCAATATATAATAATTTAAATTTAATTCTTATTCTTCTTTCAGTTTTGTAATTTAATTTAATTTAATTCAAGATTATTTTATTAATTCTGTTTATTAAAATAATATTTTGATAGACTTTTTACTAAAAAATAAATGATATTGTTTGTATAATTATTTAGCAAAATTTATATTAACCTATAGGCAGCTTTATTGGGTTCAGGTTGTTGGGCCCAAATGTCAGATGATGTTGCAATAGCAGTGACAACATCTGGTTGTGGTGAACATCTTATTAAGACAAATTTAGCCAGAGAAATATCAAGACAAGTTTTTAATTCTTCTTGTCCAACAATTGCAATCAATAAAAGTTTCAATGAGGATTTTATACGTTGGTTATCAGTTTATTTTTGTTTTTTTTTTTCATATACTTTTATTCTATAATTGGTATGGATTTTATTTTAACAGAATCACCACTATTAAGAGATTATGAAGAAAAACTTGCTGGCGCTCTAATACTATATAAAAATAAAGACTATTGTGAAATTATAAGTGCTCATAATACAAAGTCAATGTGTATTGCTTATGCAACAGAATACAACAAAAAAGTATGTATTCGTCCAAATTTATTACAGTTGTAAATTAATTTTATTTATTATTTCTAGTATTTAATTTTTAATTACAATAACCAATGTATATTATGTGATCAATTAAAATTATTATTTATAATATAATAAAATGTAATTATATTATATTTTAGTTATATTAAAATCATATACAATTTTTGCAGAGTTATCTAAGTCGCTTACTGCCAAATACTTCATCAGGAACTAGTATAATGGTACAAGGATACCCTATATGAATATATATATATATATATATAAATTTGTAATACATTTTTATATAGTTTTTTGAAAATTTTTTCTTACTTATTTTAATAAATGTGAAAAACAAAAATAAAGAAATGTAATATTACATAAATTTCAGTTTTCATGTATTTAAAGTGTAATATCAAATCACTTCTTAATAATCTTTAGTATATACTTAATACTGGTTATGAAGAATAACCAGAATAGTATAAATTAGAAAAATAATTGCACACAAAGAAACAAAAAAATATTTTGTGATTAAATTTTATATAATGTTCATAGTACAACCTAAAAAATTAAAAATTATTTTTTTTTTTTTAAATAAAATTACCACAAAATGTACTTGTAAAATCAACAAAATTCCAAAACATTATTTTATTGTTTATTTATATTTATTTAAAATGTGAAACTCTGAGGTTTTTATTAATTTCTTTAAGTTAACATATTTCTTATTTATTGAATTTATTTGTAAATTAGTATTACAATATATAATTGATAGTAAAGTACTGCATCTTCATCACAATGTTTGGTATATAAATACATCATTATGGTCTTCACAGCTACATCATAAATAAAAGGTAATATATCTAATCAAGATATGTAAGATGTATTTATATTAATTAAATTGATTAAACAGAATTTACATTTGCTTCCAATTATCAACTTGACTGTACTAATATTCTAAAAGTAAAATCCTAACATGAGTAAAAGATGAAAAAATATTATAAATACATAACAATGAATAAAAGTATATTATTACATAAACATACTATATTTCATACTAAAAGTAATAGGTATACATTTTTTTTTATATTAAAAAATATACATTAATAAATATTTTTTGATTTTATTTAAGAATTTATTTTCTAACCACCAAATGTGTATAAAAATATCACAATATTTAATTCGTTTTTTTTTTTTAATGGGGAAATCCCTTTGGAAGATGTCGGCAAGAATCAGTTACAGTTTTTTTTTATCACGTAGTTGTGATGCTATTTACATAAATCTCACTAAAATTTAGTTTAAAATAGTAAATTATAAACAACATATTTAATTAGTATTTATCCAAATACAAAAAATTCTCGTAAAAATAACATCAAATAAAAACTGTATAACTAAAAAAAAAAAATGAATGAATATAAAAATGATGCACAAAAGAATTGTGTTCAAATAAATGTATACATGAAAATGTTCTAAAATGCTTAAACTCAAAGAAAATTTGTGCAAGTAAAAAAAAAAAAAACAGGAATAAAAAGTTAAAAAATTCCACATTAAAAAACTTTCAACAGTCAAGAAAATATAAATAAGATATTTATTAAACACACCCATACTCATACCAATTAGTATCTTCTTTTGTTAAAAGAGTTTTATTGGACTGCAATGTTGAATTGTTTCTATCTTTAACTTCATTATCTGTAGTGTGGGACAACCTAGATAAAATATTATTAATCTCATCTTTAAAATAACATTATACATTATTTAACAATTGTTTACCTCTGTTCATTTCGATAAGATGAAGTAAGTGGTGAATTGGATAATGAATGGCTAGCAATAATAGATCCTTCATCCGCATCCTTGAGTATATTAAAAATAGATTATATTCATGCAATAATACATTTTATTTATGTTGTCTCAATTAATTAACTTACATTTTCTTCTCCTGAAAGATAAAGAGTTTGACGAGTTCCTGGTGTTCCTAAACTGCTTAGATTATCAGAATATTCTGAAATAGAATACATTTGAGAGTAAGTTTAACATTGTTTTATATAGTTGTAGCATATGAATTTTACCTTGATGATTTAATTGATTATCATCCAAATCTAAACTAGTATCTGAATCAATTCCTCTTCTTGCCATATCTTCATGCCAAGACATTCGACTCTAAACATAATTATGATAAAACATTAAAAATGTATAGTAATTACAAGTATTCATTAAAACTGCAATATCAAATTACAATAAACATAGCTAAAATTTATTTATTCACCTTATTCATCAATTCAGTACCAGCTTTTTTAACTTTTTTTATCCAAGTAGAACCAAATAATTTTCTAAAAATATAAATACATTTATACATGAAAATCAAAATTTAATATTTAGTATTTATCAAATTATGTACTATAAACATATTCTAGTGTTACATAACTATCTTTAAGAAACATTTAATATCAGAACAAGAACAACTAATACTTAAATTTAAACTTTTTAAAAGTTTCTTATTAAAACTAAATACTTTTAAAAAATATAATTTACTTCTTTGTAATACTGCAGCTATTCAGCTTTCTATAATGGTCCATTATTTTTTCCTCAAGTTTTTCTTTCTGACGAGACAAATGATTCAATTTATCACTAAAAGAGTAATTATAATATCAATATATGAAGATGAATATAATAAAACTATTTAAGTATAAAAATATTAAAACAAACGCATTATTTTTTTCTTCTAAATGGTATTGCTCTTTATCTTCTAATGATTGCGTTAAAAGCTCATGGTATTGTGTAATTAACATTGTGACATGTTCCATTAATGATTTTCTATCTTCAACAAATGTACTAGTCATTTGTTGCAATACCTAAAAGATAACAGATTATAAATTATCACTAATATTATTTTGGGCAAAATATAGTGATATTTCTTTCAAAAATCATTGTTAAAGGAAGAAATAATAAAAAATAAAATAATATAATTTGTTTAGTGTTGTATTAATAACAAAAAAATGTATTTTTATTAAGTTTGTGATTTTAATATTAATTTTATTTAACTCTTCATATTCATGAATCTTCTGATAATTTATGTTTTAAATTTAAACACAATACAGTAAAAATATTGTCAGAAATTCCGCAAACCAAAATAAGCCAATGTTATATATCAGAGATGGGTAACTTTTTTATTTGGCCTGTGCTTCATTTTTCAAATCACTTCATTACATTTAAGAGATTATAATATTATAATTTTTTCACATTGATTGTAAAGTTTAGATATTATATTTTTCTCAACTTTTAACTTAATTATTAAATGTGTAAGAATAATTTATAGCCATATCAGCATAGCTAATTTTGCTGTTGTTATTAAGCAATTTTATATTATATTATATAATTTATAGTATTGATTTATCTGTAAAATTTAATTAATTAAAATAAATGCTAATTGTCAACTATAATAACCTTTTTTATTTAAATTTTTGCTTTCTTCACTATGGTCTGCCAGATTTTAAATTTCTAAAAATTGGCTCTCTATTTACTTTGAGTTGTCTATCCCTGATATATATTATTATTAATAATTAGTTATACATGCAAAGTAATGATTAGTAGTAGACAATTATACATAAAGATAAATACCATATAACGAGCATTTGAATCAGTTAATTTAGATTTAAGAGATTCCATCTCTTTTTCATGAGCTTCAATTAACTCCTTAGCGTCTAATCCAATTTTAAGATCAACTTTAAGTTTTTCATTTGCCGTAAATAATGCTCTGAAATCATCCTAATAAATAAAATAATAAACAAATTAATTAAGTAAATTATATATTAAACAAAAATTCTAACTTTTAGCTTAGCATGTTCAGCAGGTAAATGTTTAATCGCTAATAATTCTGCCTTCAATTGTTCGTTTTCTCGTTTAAGCTTAAATTCGACACTTTTTAACTGTGATAACTTTTCTTTTAAAGAAAATCTGGCTTCTTTAAGATCATTTTTTAAAGTATCTTTTTGTTTAAGCTGATCTTCATATTCAATTGTTAATTGATTATGTAATGTTTGCAACTTAGAAAAAGCTGAGTTTGTTGAATCCAATTCTTTTTGTGTCTAGAAATAAAATAAAATTATAAACAAATAATTTTGATTGATTAATAAAACTAATTACTTCTTCTTTTTCTGCAGCTAACTGAGTGTTTGCTAGTTGCAATGCAGTATGTTGACTATTAAGGGAGTGTACTTTAGATTTTAAAGTAGTTATGTCAACTTCCATTTGTGCAACATTAACAGTTTTTATCTCATGACACATGTTTGTATCCTTGGTAATTTTCTTTCTTACAGCTTTAACAACTTCAGGACTTGAAACAATTCTTTAAAAATATAAATAAATAATTGAATTAATAAAAAAGAAAAAAAACAAATATGTGCAACAATTATTTTACAATTAGCTAATAATTTTAATTAATTAATAATTAAATAGTTTTCTTACTGGTCTAATACATTTTCTGGTTCCGCTGATTGGTCCAATGCTAATCCTAATTTATCTAAATTTTTCATTATTTTCTGTGATTTACGTTTTTCTGATACTAAATCATCTTGAATAGCTTTAGTTGTTGCTACTTCAATAGTATATTTACTTTTTAAGTCATGAAATTCATTTTCAATAGATCGTAAACGACATATTTGTTTGTCATGTTCTTCTAAAGTTTTACTTAAAATATCTTTTTCTTTTTTTAACAAATCAATTTCACTTGTTAAATTATCAATTTCTTCTAATTTATGCTAAAATAAAATAAAAGATTTTTAAATTTATAAAATAGTTTATTGCAACAAATGTATTATAAAGTAAACATTTTTAAAATGTTAATCTGAAAAATTAATAATTACATCTAATGTTCCTTTTAATCGTGTTATGTCTTTTTCTAAATTACTATTTTTCAATTCCAAACCTTGAACAAGATCAGATTTTTCATTGCTATGAAGTGAACTGTTATCTTTAAGTTCTTTTTCCAATCTTTTATTTTCTCTTTTAACACTTTCAAATTCTTCGATTTTAATCTAAAAATATTATTGATAAAAATAATTTGTTTTTAAAAAATTTGATCAATCAACAGAACTTACGTCTAATTTTATTTTTAATAATTCATTAGTTTCAACTAATTTTTTATATTCTTGTTTTATAATAGAAAGTTCATTTTCTACTGAAGTACAATTCAGTTGTAAGCGATTTCTATTATTTTCTGTTTCTTCAAGCTATAATAATAGAATACAAATTCAGAAAATAATACAAAATAAAAACTATTAGTTTACTTGAACTACTCAAAATATTGAAATCATTACATTCAGAGCTTTAGAACTTATGTTTTAAAAATAATTATATGTAATGTAATTTTATTTACCTGCAATGAAAGTAACTTTTTGTCCTTTTCTAACTGTAATATTATTTCATTATTTTGTTGTCTAATATTTTCTTGTAAACATTCTATGGTTGATGTTAGTTTTTTATTTTCTAATTCCAGTCGAAGTGCATGTGACTGAGCACTAGTACTTAGTTGTTCACACAAACTATTATCTTTAGAACCTTTAAATTAATCCAAAAAAATCTTTAGTTAAGACAAATAGTAAATATGTTGAAAAACTATTTTTATAGTGTAGGTAACAAAAATTAAAAGTTATGACACTTAAGTAATATTCTTATTATAATAATTAAAAAAAAAAAAAAAACATTAGTGTTCGAAATTAAAAAAATGTTTGTAAAAAATCAATAAAAGATAAAAATTTAAAAATTTTTTGATGTTATATGCAACATGAAATTAGATACAAAAAATATTAAAATATCATAAATTCATAAATAAGCCATATTAAATTTAAGATTTTTTTTTTCAAATTTAATCATTTGATTTACTAAAATAGATGAAAAACAATAGTGATTTGATATTTTTTGTCCTACACATGTAACCTAGTATAAATCAGTTTTACTATACTATAAAAGCAAAATAAAAATGATAAAATTCAGGCTATACATTTTTATAATAATATTACAATATCCTGCACTGACTTATGAACCAACATTTAAAATAAGAACTTATCAATCGGCATTTTTGATTAAAAATCATGTCATAGTTTATTAATAGGTATAATATAATACTTACCAATGTGATCGAAAAAGCATTCATTCTCATTTTCTTTATTATAACTTTCATTACATTGAAACGATTTATTAAGAAGATCAAGTTGAGCATTTTCATGTATCAGCTCATCGATTTTTCTCAGGTGTGCATCTCGTTCCAATGTCATTGTATTAATTGTTTGTTTAAAGTGTAATAATTGTGATTCCATTTCTTGTAATTGAGAAGTTCGTCTTCTAAACTTAAGAAGTTGTTCTTCAAGAGTTTCTCTTGTCTCTTGGAGAAGCAAATTATTTTGGGTAAGCTCTTCTTCTCTTGATTTATAATAATCCAAATCTCCTAGTTTTTCTTTATATTTTTTTATTTCTATTTCAAGGTGTTCACAATTGGATGCTTTTTCACGTAGGGCATCAACTTCATCTCTATATGCTTTAGCTGATCTAGCATCAACTTTAATTTGCTGAAGCTGAAACCATTACATACATAAATTATTCAATAATAATAATATATATTTCTATGAAAACGTAAATTTACTTCTTCTTTTAATTTAACTACAGTGAGATTAGTTTGTTCAAGTTCTTCTCTAGCTTCAGCTAATAATTCAGTTTTTTCTTCTCTAAAGATAGAAAGAATTAATTATTTATTTGAATTTTTATAAGAAAATATAATTAAAATAAGATTATTAAAGAATATTCACAATTCATGTCTAAGTTTTCTTAGTTTTGCTTTCCAGTCAGCAAGTTCAAGAGCATAATTCTGATTATCACCACTAGAAGTGATGGATGTGGTTAATCCAGTATCGATAGGTTTAGAATTTGAAAAACGTTTTTCTTCTAATTCTGTCCACATCTAAAAATGACAATTTATTGTATTTCAATTAACTGTACATAAACTATTTCGCTGAGACTTTATAAAGTTTACTTAAGTAATTATTAATCATATTAATTATATATTATACAGTTAAACTTTTATATGACAAAATCATTACGAACAAACTGATTTTTTTATCATCAAATATAAATAAATAAAGGAGTTTTTGTTATAAGGATACTAAAAATAAAAATATTTAAAAAAAACTTAGAATTAAATGCATCTATAAATTATTTCAAAAACAAGGTTACCAATTTAAAATCTTATTTTTCCATCATGAAGAAATTCCTTATAAGAAGGATTTATTGTATTACATAAATAGTAACACTTTATAATAGATTATTATTATATTATTGTTGAAACAATAATGTTCCCTTTTTCAGTTAATGGAAATTCATTGTACAAATATAATTTGAATAAGTAAATGAAAAAGGATAGTTGTTATTTTTCATAGCAATATATCTGTTATTAAGAATTCAATTACAAGGTTTTACTGTATTATAATATGTATTATAATTATGTTTATAATTCTTATTAATATAAATCTAAAAACTATACATATCTATACATAATAATTTTCTAATCTTAGATTTATAGTCATGGAATTATAATATTCATAGATAATTCATAAATTACTTGAAGGTATTGATCACGCTCTTTAACCAATTGTCTAATATGAGATATCATAAGATCAGTTGTCAACTGTTCTGCATTTTCTTGGGTAATCACAATTTGTTGACTTTCTGTAATCTAAAATTAAAAAAAAAAATTTAGTTTTATAATAAACTTATTTAAAAACAAAATTACATCATACTTGTTTTATATAAAAGACAAGTGCATGTTGAGATTCAATAGGTAATGTTTTTATACGCTCAATAAATGATTCTTTATTAGGACATTGGACTGCACAACCAAGTAATAATAACAATAAAAGTTTCATATCTTCAAAGCTATTTTTTGAATAAGGGTCGCGCCCTAAACGTAAACAATCAGGTATTGTTAATATAACCTGTCCAAATTCTTCCTGTAAATAAAATAAAGAATAACAAAAACATAATAGACTATTTAAAAATATAATAATAAGTATAATAATTCTTACTTCATATAACATTTTAATATTTTTTATAATACAATTAATATTTTGAATTCTGATTGATGGATCATTTTGTCCAGATATAATAGTATGGTATAAGGGTTCAGGATCACTATATAACAAAAATATAGTAGAGGTTAATTGATAAAAAAGATTTTTTTACCATTTTTTTACTTACATCAGAAGTAATACTTCATATATCAATGTGCCATCAATCAGATCTTCATAAACACTTAATTTTTCTGGTTGATCTAAACAAGATTGTAACTGAAAATACAAAATGTCAATAGGTAAGTATTAGTTCAATATATTAAATCAAATTAACAATATAATTCTCTATATTTTTAGGGATATTTTACAATTAATTTATATTACACAGATGATAATTAACTCTATTATATTTATGATAATAGCTATATATAACACAAACTGTAATTTTAACATAAATAAATACCCAAACAACTAGATGTTCTTGCATGAATTCTTCTTTTTCTGTCAATGTTAAATCCATGATTCAACATTAAAATATTTGAAATATTTAAACGAACAAATTAATTGGGTAACATTTTAATTTTTACTCTATATTGAAAGAATGATTACATATTAAAAAATGACTTTATTCAATTTAAAACATTTAAGACCTCTTTAAATTAATTATTGTACAACACAAACAACTTAAGATATGATAAAAAATTGCAAAAATACTAAAAAAATCCAAAATCTTAACTATAGTAGTGAATAGATACTTTAATAGTTAAACAAAAAAAAAAAAAAGTAAAAGTAATATAAAAACAATTGATAAAATCAGTAAACAAAAATAGAAATACAGTATAGCAAATTAAGAAACACAATACTATAGTATAGTATACTACTTTCAGTTCTTTTGAAAAATGATAAGCAAAATTATCTGATGAATGGATCTTCACAGGAAAAAAATGTTTTGTCTGTATATAATATTGCCTACATTTAGCCCCTTTTTTGTAGCTATCAAAATGTGATAACATTGTTAAAATAATAACATCATTTTTTATTATAATAATTTTATATATTACTAAATTTAAATTTAAATAGTTAAATAAATTCAATAATACAGAATTCGAAAAAAACACAATATTCACTTACGATCGTCATTTAAAAGGTACAATTCAAAAGTAATAAAAAATATTATATTTTTATTACTCTCATATTTCTCCATACCTCTAAATTCAAAGTACCATATTTTAATCTTTATTAAACGAGGACAATGAATTAATTGTAATATACAGCAAAACTCAATTATGGTACCTACCTAATTTAAAATTGGTAAATTAAGGTTTACTACAGCTTATAGAGCAAAATTGACAGGTAGCTTATTTTATATAATACTATACTACCATCTATACTGGTTCCTATTCGAAGGGTATTAAATGATGTCCAAGATTCTATGGAAGGAACAATATTGAAACGTTTTTAGTATGAGTGTTATGACCCAATTATTGGCCAAATAGTTAATAAAATATATTAATAATCCAATTTTGTATTTTTAATACTGTGTAAGATGATTATGCCACAAAAGTAAGAAAAAATGATTTTTGTATTTGGAAATGACTAAATCTGTGTTGATGGGACCCATGGTTTAAACTTTAAACAGTTAGGTACGCTTTTAAAACAAAAATACAAAATATTAAATCTAATTATAACATTTGTATTATATTTTCGCTTAAAGTATTCGCAATGAATTGTATATCTTTAAATTTTATATTACGATATTGTGTTTTTTTTCAAATTGTGTATTATTAAATTTATTTAACTATTTTAATTTTAATTTAGCAATATATAAAACTATTATAATTAAAATGATGTTATCGTTTTATCAATGTTATCACATTTTGATTAGTGATGGGCACGAACTATGATTATAATGACTATAATTAGTGATGGGAATAATCGAATGATTTTAATAATCGAAATATTAATATTCAAGACATTTTTATAATCAAGAGATGTCTCGAAATAATCATTCGAGATGTTCAATTGAAATATAATATATAATTATAAATATAATATAATTTTATTTATAAATGTTCTAAGAAATTTTTGTTGTTCTGTGGTTGAGTAATTCAAAAAATATAGCTATAGATAATATAAATAATTAAGAATAATCGTATACCCATCAATATTTGTCTAATAACCAGTCCCACGAATAGCACGAGTTGAAAATACAATGACTCAAAGTATTATACAACTAGTATTTACTTATTCGATTATGAGATTAAAAATAGTATTCATCCCTCACTCCTTCGTTCCATGGAGATCATTCGAAATATTTTTTTCATTCGATAAACATTTCGGGATCAAGAATTCATTGTTTTTAAAATAAACGAGATATCACTCGAAATAATATCTGGTTTATAATAGAATTATTATTTTGATAATCGAGATATCTCGATTACGCCCATCACCACGAACTATGATTATAGTTAGTGATGGGCACTATAGAATAGTATTCGATAGTAAGCATAAACTATCGAATATTATTTTGTATGACCGAATAGTTCGAATAAAAAATCAAAACGTTAACGTTTTTTGTTAATTGTTATTCTTATCAGTAATCAGTTATCACATTAGTGAATAGGTATCTTAAAATAAAATAAACATTATTTAAGCTAATTTCAAATTTTACTGAATAATTTAGAAATCGTAAACTATCAAATAATTGAATAATTTGAAATTATCGAATAGTCCGAATAGTTTAAAATAATTTAAACTCTTGAATAATTCTAAACTATCGAATAGTCAGTTTAGATTCGAATATTTTTAAAAACCATCGAATAATTCAATAGTGCCCATCACTAGTTTAGACGCTCCTTACCATTCTGGAAACCAATTGTTATAGGTAAGGCACTATAATATAGTCACTATATATAATGCACTACTTCTATATATGCGTTTAGCATTGATATGTTATCGTTTCCACAAATACTAAAATTACTAGATACCAGGTTAATATCTATATCCGTGGCGTTGAGTAACCTGTTGTTGCGTGCCGTCACTTCAACCGTTGAAGAATGGATGTGAGAGGATAGGTTAATTAAATAATTACTAGACTTAGAATATTTACTATTTATTGACAAATTATTCTAAGTTCAAAAAACATTTATTTACTGAAATTATTTCTAAGTACAATAAATCACTAATCTATCTAGCGTAAAGGTGCCTGCTAAGCTTGGACTAAAACACATCTGAATATTGGTCTGTTAGCAACCCCTTTATATACATAGATCTTGTGGAAATCAATCGTGCCGCACTATGTAAAAGTTGTTCCTGATTATTATAAATATAAGATTTATTACTTTAGTGACCTCGCTAATATTACTATTCGCACATATCCCCTATTTTACTATTATTAAATGCATTCTTAATATTACTTTAAAATGTCCTATAACTCATATTTGCGTATGTGTTTGTGTTCTCTTCTAGTCCTGTAGTTATTTTAATGATTTTTTCTATATAATTTCCTTGATTTCTACTATTTATGATTTATGGAGTCTCCCTATGTAGTGATGGTCCTTACGACCCTACATTTATGTATGTCCATAACACTGTATATCTTAAATCATGGTATTGGCATAGAACAAGGGTGGTCAACTAGAAGAGACTCGCGAGCCCCCAAATATATTAATTAATATAGAAGAGTCAAAATGAAAAAAAAAAAGGTCATATTATTTTATAATTCATATATGATATTGTAAATAAGATAAGGTATAGAATTTAATAAAATATGAAGAATACGATAACGATTCTCAAAGAGACTTCAAAAAGTGTTATTGAAAATGTATGTATGTATTATTAAACTCGATTTCAATGGATCCAGCTTAGAAATTAAACTCTTGGAACTATAGGAAGATGAAGAAATGAAGCAGTTTAAATACAGTTGTCAAGCTTTTTTGGAATTTTGGAATCATATGCCTTTTATTAAACATCCAACAATTACTCTTTGCACACAAAAGTTAATATCGATTTTCGGAACAATATATTCTTGTGAGTCTTTATACTCAACCATGAAAATTATTAAATCTTAACATTGATCAATGTTAATGGATGATCATTTAACGGAATTGTTAAGGAATGCGTTAACAACATACTAATAAAATAGTAGTCAAGGCCTTATCTAGAAATTTTTTTCGGGAGGGGCACAAAACATGTGTATTGTAATTTTATTAAATTAAGATTTTAACTTTTGATATTTGGTTAAAAATAAGACAGAAAAAGATTTAATCTTTTTAATATTAATATCATATTTTCATATGATATTATGATATAAAATTAAAAGCAGTCAATGATTAATTGGAGCTTAAGTCATTTTTGACAGAAAATATTTATGTTGGTATTAAAAATAAATAAGTATTATAAATATTCCTAAAATATTGAAGAAATTTCGGGGGGGACAGCTATAGTCCCCCCCCCCATTGGCCATGTTTATATGTATAGTGTATCTTGACTATTTAATAAAATCAATGGATGCTCGTTTTAATAAAAGGGTTATTGATGTTATGCCACTTGAAGGACTTATTCCGGCCAATTTAAATATGTATGACGATAAACACATTATAAAAGCTGCTAAAATATATGCCCAAGATCTCCATGTTGATACCTTATCTACAATCAGAGCTGACCTGCATAGGCGCAACTAAAGTTCAATTTCTGGGTGGGCTAAATTTTAATGATACCAGCGACCGGTGAGGACTTCGTCCCCACACCCCCAATATTGAATATCAACATTAACATTTATATTTATATAAATTAGAAGTCCTTACGACCTTACCCATAGTCGTTAATAATTTATTTCGAACTAAAATGTTGTCACTTACCTAGTCACTTATTACTTACAGACTAGCTACCTAAATAAACACGAATAATAAGGATATACATATATAATCATTGAAATATACAGTTCATAGCTATTAAATTTTTATTATAAAGCCTAATTAAATTAACAATAAATTTCTATTTTTTCAACCAATTTATTTACAATTTCATTTTCGTCTAATTTATTGGTTACATCTCTCTTAGTATTTAAAATAGATCAATTTGTAAATTGATCATGGCCATGGAAGATCTTAGCCAAAGTTTTATTCGTCTCATTGAAAAGAACGGCCTTTCACAGGTGTCTGAACTTATAAGAATAGATAAAGCCACTTTATCTAACTAACGTATTTCGACTTCTTTGACATCATTTATATTGAAATCTTTTTTTTTTTTTACTATTTATAGGTTAAATGCCACTCTAATTTCTGCTTTTAAGCTACTCTTTGAAATATGTAGTAATTCCTATAATTATAATTTAAATAATTAATTAATTAGTTATCATTAATCTCTTATACAATTAAAATGTATTTATATACATGGTATTACCAAATTACCTAATAATGATCAATAAACTTCATTGAATCGGTTGTAATTCACAAAATGAACTACAACCGAACTGGCCATAGCCAAGCTCTAATCAGAAAACCTATATTTAAGATTGAA